GACAGACCGACCACCAAGTGACATGTAGAAACCCCTGCCAGAGCTTAAAATATATAGTGATCAGGCGTGAGATTTTTCACACTTTTGTCTGAAATCAGACTTTTTGAATCGGAGAGGAGGACATTATTAGTATAGAAAGATGCGTGCATCTTTCAGACATTTTCATCAATTTTTTTCCCAGACGTTTTTAAATTGACAATGCATTCCCTGAGTGACGTCTGCTACATGTACATACAAACGCATTTTAACAATGAACATGATTATTATTTTATTCAACTAAATGAGAATCCCACAGAACCATCAACATCAAGCTCCGACCTGATCAATTTAAACTCAGGTTTTCCGTTTTCACTGCGCATCAAAAGCAAGCCTCGTGTTAATTCTCGTCCGAGCTTAGATTTGCTTTGTGTTTTCTACTGCGTTTCAGTCCCCAGTCCCACATCTCGTCACCTTGTGACATTCTCCCTACTCTCGCCGGTAATCGAGGCACGATCACGAGTCCATTGCCGAGCACCACTCCAAACAGGTCACCGGCTCCCCGATCAAAATTGAAGTTTTTTTTTTTTTTGTATTGGAGTGGCTGATGATGTGCTCACGTTATTGGGGGCTCGTGTGCAGTTCTGCATGCCGTGGTATAATGGAGAAGCCGCTTTGGGTCTGCCTAGGACGGCACGTGTGGCTTCAGATCAATTTGCCTGGGGGGGGGGGGGGGGAATAGGAGAGAAACCATGAGATCCTACCATGGATGTGCATTGAGAGTATCCTCGCAGTACGGGGAAAATGAAACATGAATTTTTTTTTTTACAGAACTGATATGCTTCTCTTGCTCTACGTAAAATGTCTTGCCAGTTTGGTTTTGTATACCCGGTAGTTTGGGTCACATGCAAAACCAGATGTTTTGAATATACCGGTAGTAAAAAGAGAAACGTAAACTTCTTTTCAGAACACTGCAAAAAAACCAAAACTTAAGACAAATTGGTCATGGTATCGTGCCCAATGTTGGTCAACAAACCAACTGCCGACAATCGTGGGCAAGTTCTTCCCGATAGTTGGTCAAGTTTTACCCGAATCAAGGAACAGTGAGGTGGTACCCGGTAACTCGTGTTGGGCAAATAAATATTGCCCAACAATGTTTTTTTTTTTTACCCATTTGCTAGTTAGTATCAGGGAAACAGTAGCCAGTGAGTTGTAGAGATGATTCCACTGGCAAGAAATGAGAAGATTAAAAAAACGCTGTAAATTGATGAAAAGAAAACCAGTTCACGTAGTCAGTTGGCTTATGACGCTTTGGATACTGTACCGGTAGGTTGGAGAAGTAGCCTTAGTTGCATATGCGCAACGTCAAGAACGTCAAGAGACTCTCCTTCTCCCAACCCATTATGGCATCAGGAAATTAAATCGACACCTCTGGTCTTCCACCGGTGTGCCTCCTGCATCACCCGAGACCTTCCGTACAGCAGACTTCTTGATTCGTCTCTCCGTCATCCCTCCCCTCCCCCCCCCCCCCCCCCCCCCCCCCCCCGGAAACTCAGAGCGCCACCGGACGGAAACCACCACCCTTTGTGTTTAGTGATTAAATATTGGTTCGCTTGTGCAGGGGCCGGATGTGAGAGCGTCGACTCGACGTAATTAGGCCGCGAGGCACCGCGCTTCCAAAAATATATAACCATTTGGGAATGATAATACAATGGAAAGAGGATAGTAGTCCTTTTGTTAATGTTACCGGACGCAAAAAAAAAATAACAAAATTAGTTTGATCGGTACTAGGCAGTTTCCTATGCTGTCCTGAAAGTCAGCATACTATTTCCGTAAAGTCATAATTTCACTTTCATGTTCTTTTTCCCGCTGAGGTTGAACTGGCCTTAATTTGAAGAGAGGAGAGAGATCGTAATTATTTAATTTTTAATTTTTAATTAAAGAGCATTTTGCCTATTTACCCCTGAGATTTACCCAATGTTTCCTGTACCGCCTAAACTTCGGCAAGTTGCCGAAACAGCCAAAAAATTTTTTAAATCACACACCGGTACATGATATTTCAATGGAAACGTTAACTTCCCCGTGTTGGGGCCCTATTCCTAAAGACCCTTTGACACTTGACAGATATGTGAGTTGATTCATAATCTATAAAAGAACCTCTTATTGAAAGTACCGGACACGATGTACGTCACTGGCGTTGGCCTGGGAATGACAGCCAAAAAAAAAAAAATTGGAAAAAAAATCCTTTTCAGTTGGCGTTCGGCAGCGAGAGATTTAATTTTGTCCCATTGTAATCGCATTCAGTAGCTTTTATTAAATACAGTTGTTAGTGTAGATTCCCCGGGAGAAGACGATTGTGGAGAAAAGCTTGTACGTAGTTTACGTGAGTGTAAGCTGATCATTGGGATTAGAAGTGCTGCGGGAACAATTTAGTGAACTTACAAAGTTTATTTTAAAATGTTGCTAAAGTACTGTTAAAGTTCTTGAAAGGGTTGGATGTTGAAAAAGGTAATGCATAGTACACACATGCACATGATAGAACACAATTTGATGATAGTACAGAGTTTGGGGGGGGGGGAAGCCATTATAAAATGTACCCGATATGTCAATGTGCTTGTTTTCATACATTATCTTTTTTATTGGACAAGTAACGACATTAACCCTCCTATGCAAAACATACATTCTGTGCCAAGTAGTCCTTTCAGTCGAAATCAATCAAGTGACTGTTTTCAACAGTTAAGAATTCCCAGCCTACATAAAGCAGGATTGACTGGCTGGGACTGACTTATGCTTTGACTCCGGGTGAATAATGAAACAGCTGTGACCACAACTTGCCTGCTTTGTCTGTTGACCCAGTTTGACTAGTCACAGTGCTTGCTTAACATTTGATCTGACTGCTGGTGACTGGCCTTTGATAAAAGTATAACAGGGGAAGTATAAGTGAATTTTGACTGTCTGTGACTGTTGAAATAGCAAGACGGTTAAAGGTAGAGTTAAACCGTATGCGTTTATCCAAAATGCAATTGACCAAATTGTTGTTACAAAGCTTACTTGAATTGCAGACAGTAATGGCACTAAACAGAATTCCCTGTGAAATTATTCCTTCTGGTATGCTGTCATTTTGAAGAAACCAATAAAAGGTTATTCCCAAAGATGTGTCAAGTGACGCATTTTTGGAAATTTCCGTTGGCAGAACGTTGGTTTGTAACTTGGCGAATCGGCAAATGGGTGCAAGCGCGTTGACTTGACGAGCCCACACGTGCGGTTGCTATTATTAGCGAGAATCGTCGGTTCCGTTGTGACATTACGTAGCTCGACAATGGGCTAAATGAGAATGATTCTCATTCGTGTCCCGAATGCTGATTTTGGGATCATTGTGTCATGACTCAGCAAATTTTGAATTGACATCGAGATCTAGAAAATAGTGTTTTCTGGAAACGCGTAGAGATAAACACGCTTCATTAATTCTTAAACATATTCTCATATTAGTTCTTAAACATCCGTCTTAAGATTTTGCGCACTTTTGTTGCTTCAAACGAGAAAAAAAATGCACCAATAAGGCCAAACAAAATAAATATTCGGTCTCTGGTCAGACCAAAGTTCTGGAATTGATGCGGGGACGCGGCTTTTTTTTTTTTTTTTTTTTTTCCTTCAAGCTTGGATTGTACAGACAAGGTGGGGTACTATTTTGCTTTTTTGGTGTCCTCATGTACATTGGTGTCCTCCATAATTTGCCTTGGTGCTCTCGATCATTTGCCTTGGTGCAATTTCCCATTCCTTGGTGCTCTTTGGTAAAAAAAATTGAAGAGGTGCGGCAATAGAGGGCGCTGTTGTAGTTTCCGTGTTAATTTGAAAAAAAAAAGAAGGTTGACGCGCATGATTAAAATTGACGCGCGCGCTGACCAGAGACCGAGTATTTTTTTTTTTTGGCCTAACAAGTGGTCTACTCTACCTTTAAAGTACAATGGAAACAGTAGAGTCCTAATCGAGTCAATCAAATGTCAAATTACAGTCAGTTAACGGGAAATGAATTTGAACATTGACAAATAGAGTTGCATTTTATATCACAGGTCATTGAATAGCTCAATCCTTGATTTGAGGCTGGACGGGCGTGTGATAGACTCTGATGACTTGTGGTGGCTTGTGTGATTGACTTTTGACGACTTGTGATGGACTGTTTGAGGGATTGTCATTAAGATGGCTTGCGATTGACATGTGATTTCTTGTGATGGCTTGTTATAGCTTATGATGGACTTTGGACTGACTTAATTTAATAATTCTTACTATAATGGGGCGACACTCCCATAGACTTGCACGCAAACCTAAACTGTCGCCTAACCCGAGTTTACCTGATCCTTTTCCATGAAATTCGGTATTTAGGCTAATTGGACAAGGAATCGATCTGAAAGGGTCGCGACAATAAAATTCCTTGTCCTAAGGGTCGTTTCATCAATAGGGCGACACCAAATTGTCACCCCAATGAGGCGTATCGCCCTAATCGAGACGACACTTGAGAAATCTGTCGCCCTATTGCAGCAATTCTAAATTTAAAAGGTATTTATGAAGTGCTTTTTAGCGGGGTATCAAAGCGCTTTACAATTATTATTACCCCTGTTCAACGGGCAAAACTCCTGAAATCTTCTCAACTCTCCAGGAGCCGTAATCAACCTCTCACAGTCACAGTAACCAACTCTGCCCTTGGAGGTCCCCATCTACTCCTGGGTGGAGAGAAACAATGAGTGACAAAGCGCCTCGCTCAGGGGTATACACACGATAACCCCGGACAGGACTCGAACCCACAGCCTGCAAAATTACCCGCAGACCACAAATTCAATGCTCCAGACCACTCAGCCACGGTTGATTGATTTGCAATTGATTTGTATGATTGATTTGCAATTGTTTGTGATGCATGTACCTTGTGGTATGGTATGAGTTATGATGACTTGGCGAGTAAGTTAAGATGATTTGAGGGTTTTACTTTTCCTATCCCTGAACATTTTTCCCCTTAACTTGATGACGGCCAGATATCTGTAACAATGTCATTGCGATGGGATTCCCCGCACAGAGTCTGGAGAGCGTCTACAGGAACGACATGGAATCTGTGGTCAAGTAAGTGTAACATGTGTACTTCTTCATACGTGTACCAGTACTTCACCCCAAATTTGTCCCTCATTCACTAGCTAGCGAGGAACACGTACCCCTCTCCAATCTTCTCCTCTGCTCCCCTTCCCCCCCCTCCCCTCCACCTTCTCCACACCTTGAAGAGAAAGTGTTTTCTTTTACAGTGTATATGTTTGTTTCACACTGGGTGATTATTACGATTGTTTCAAAATGTGTGATAATTGTGAACAAAGTGTTAAAACCAAGTGCATTGTGCGAGAGCGAAGGTTGACACGTTCTGTTTGACCTCGCGTCAACTTTTCGTGCACTGCAAATTTGCAGAAGTTGAACACATTTTGCCTCTGGCGAAGTTTTCGTGACATCAAATTGGCTTCACATTCGCATAATTTGCTCTCTTGCCAAAGGAAACGGAGCAGTTCTCGTCTTTCACCTTGAGCGAAACTGAATGTGGGCAGCGCAGCCCAACGACACGGATGTAATTAGACCTTCTAGAAAAACCTTCATGGATGAGATTATAACCTTGCGTTTACCTTCCTTCGTGTCTCATTTCCTTGTAGCAGTGCCATCGCCGATCAGGGCTCGTTGTGTTTTCCCCTTTCTGTTTTTGTCATTCAGAGATGCAAAAGTTAAGCTGGGAAGCGCTTTGTCTCTCATAGTGTGAGACTCACACCTGTAAAGTGTGTGCATGATTGTATAGCAGCGGACATACAACTGGTATGCGTAGGCATACGCACATGTACATACATGTCATGAATAACAGTGGCCAAGTACCGGTAGTTCTGGCATGGGCGGTTCCAGAAGAACAGTGAATAGGATTTGCAATAGGTAATCTGCTTTCTGGGCTGAATTTAGAACTCTTTCTGGAAAATTCTGGTTGATAAAGTTTGTTTAACAATTCTTGACTTATGTCATTCCTTTTAACCTGGAGGGTATACGTGTATGCTTGGCTAGATTTATAATTTCAACAACTCAACTCAATATTTTACTTTTGTTTATATTTTGTTTTAAGCAATTTTTGGTACATGTATATAAATTGTGATTATTCATTTTTTTTTATGGACAGAATGCTACATGAATGTATAAATTTGTCTATGTGTGTTTTTTTTTTAATGGACCTTGCATTCCCCCCCCCCAAAAAAAATTGAATTTGGTTTGACACTAAATTTTGTTTTTATAGTAACAAAACGACTTGCAGAACAAAACGGTTTATTTTTGTTTCCCCTTTTTCATAACGTTGTGAATTAAAATTGAATTTGAAACAAATTTTGATTTTCAAAAGCATAATATCTACACAGTGAAAAAAAAACTACATGTAAAAAACAACGCCAATTCGGAATTAAACACGTCCAATGTGTGTAATTAATTTTCCACTGAGGTTTGGAAAAAAAAAAATGTTATGAGTTCAAATTGAATTTGAAACAAATTTCGATTTTCAAAGTTATAATATCTACCCAGTGGGAAAAAAGGATACGTAAAATAAAAAAATAAAGCAAATTCTGAATTAAACACGTCCAACGCTTGTAATTCAGTTTCCACTAAGGTTGGGGGGAAAAAATCAAAAAAATCAAGGGTGTTTGGTTTCATATGTAAACATGTCATTTGTCAAAAACCAACGTACAGTGTACGGCAAAAAGGAAACTCGATACGTATTCGTGTCAGCTACGTGTGTGTGTGTGTACGCAGCGTGCATTCCACTGTGAATTGCGAAGTTTGCCCTTCCATGGGGGAGAAAAAAAAATCGCTGCTTTCGTATTTTGCAAGGATTTCCGTCATTGTCTGTGTCCGTGTCTGTGTGTGCGTCCTCGGTTTTCTCTCGGAAAATGTCACGGCCGTGTAATGACCTATCCTCAGTGCCCTGAGGTTCCGAGAGGGGGGGGGGGGACAAATAAGGCAACAGAATAGAAGCCCCTAGGCCAGGTTCTGTCTTTTGTACGAGGGGAAACACTGGCCTTTTGCTCTATCCCTGCACCATCTGCAAAAAAAAGATGACAGTAAGAGAAAAAATTATTCTGAACTAGTCAGATTAGACCTAAAAGCCTGGGTGCGCGTACGTATGTGATCTGCTTAATAAGGGCAAATCTACATGTACATGTACTAAGGTTGTGAGAGTGTGCACAATACAGTACATGTACATTTACATGTATTTATACCGGTACGTAAAATGTATGTATACATGTACATGTAGATTTTTTTACCTTTGCAAATGCATCATTGAACAATGTACATGTAGGTGTTCGCTACAAAAGAAGATACGGTGCGTGCACAAATCAAACGAAAGAAGTTGCAGAAAAAGTTACAGCACTTTACAGGAGAACAATGTAAAATGCGGTTAACTTGCTATACAATGTGTTACCATGCAGCACTCCAGACTCACGATCCATTGAGTTTCAAGAACATAGGTCCGGGAGCTAGATAAGCCAATGTAAAAGATTCCCAGAAAAAAAATTCTAAAAATAAATTATAAGATTTGAGGCTTTGCATGGTGGGGTATCGGTATCGTTTCGGTTTGCGGTAACACCATGTGGTAATAACTACTGCTTAGAAGATATTAGTTCTGAGAAGAACTTGTCCTGCTTATTATCAACTTTGCTAAGTAGTTTTTTGTTCTGTTAAGAACAGTCCTGCTGTAAGTTCTAAAAGAACTTGTCTTTGGTCTCCTGACGATGACTAGAGCAGGCTAGTCGAAACGTTGAGACCAAAGACAAGTTCTTTTAGAACTTACAGCAGGACTGTTCTTAACAGAACAAAAAACTACTTAGCAAAGTTGATAATAAGCAGGACAAGTTCTTCTCAGAACTAATATCTTCTAAGCAGTAGTTATTACCACATGGTGTTACCGCAAACCGAAACGATATAAAAATAAATTGTTCATCAAACACACACATTAACATGAAGACATGTACATGTAAATTGTTACACATGATACCTACCGGTACATGTACATGTATGTATACCTGAGAAAAATTTGTGAAGTAAATGTAACTGCGAATGTTCTTTGTTTAAAAAGTGTGGGTTTCAGTTTTGGAAGAAATGTTCAGGTATTTCTCATTTGTTTACATCTGTAGTACAAACATTTTGAACAAAGTACCATAGGTTTAAAGTTTCATGCTACTTATATTTCCTTCTTTCTATTCATTAGATGCATTTGCGTCGGGGTGATGTAAATCAATATTAGGTTTTGCCCTTCACCGACGTATAAACACTGTATACTCAGTGTGTTACATGTACCTCCCGAGTGAAAGTTCGAAAAAATCAATCGGGTGGGACTCGAACCCACAACCTCCTGCTTTCTAGTGCAGACGTCTTACCACTCGACCACCGAGCTTGCGGGATCGGTTGGCTGGTTCGAATCTGATGTGCATGTAGCAGCGGGTACCGCTATTACATGTAAACTGGTTTGCGTTGGGGTGATGTAAATCTATATCCTTCTTTCTAGTATGCCGCGCACGCTCGATCGCATAAGTCTATTTTTGTCCAAGATGTGGCAGTTCTGAGCACCACTCACGACTTTCAAAGCTTCACTTTTTGACCTCCCCCACCCCCACATTGTTCGTGAGGTGATCAAAATTGAATTTTTTTTGCTCAATTCTTGCAATTTGTCAGCTAAATAAGTTTCAAATCTGTGTCATTTTGAAGTATGTCACTTCCGGTACTTTCTACATTAACCAACCGTGCCCACGTTGATGCAAACTCAACTATTTTAGCATTCTTGCAAATCAACGAAACATACTTGGTTACTTTGTAGTCAAGTAAAAATGTAAAGTTTTGAAAACGAATTTCAACATTTTGCTCTCCTTTCCTTTGTCTCCCCACAGATTCCTGGACCAGAAACACCCACATCACTACAAAGTCTATAATTTGTAAGTACTGTCTGACCGAATCATTGACTGACTGTCACTTGCGACTTTGCCTGGGTTTGGCTGGTGAAGAGTGCAGGGCAGTGCTATTGTATAGGATCACCGTGTAATGGTCTCAATCTGGCTCATTGTTTTCACCATATGCATGAAAAGACTTCCAGTCTGAATCAGTTGAATAGGATTTTGTGCACTCTGGGACCACCCTTACCAGCTTGCCCTGTCTTGCTTAAAGGGAATGTACATCCTTGGCTTTTGCTGTAATTTTCAGGAATGAACTATTTGAGGGGTTAGTATAATAGATCAAATATTGTTACACTGACATTTTTGAAGTTTGGTGTTCGAAAAGGTTGGAAAAACCAAGAAAAACAAAAATGTTCAAGTAGTCTGGTTCCCTGACTCCACAAAAGATAAAATGGATCAATTTATAGATGATGGAAAATTGTAAGGCAAGGGAACCAGTCTAGCTGGCCTGCACCCGTTCATGAACATGTAACCAATAGCAAACAAAATTTGGACTGGAAAAAATGGTAAATTTGGAGCAGTAGTTGAAAAATAGTTAGGTTTTTCCAACGCTGGTCGGCCGACCACCGTTGGAAATGTTTACAAAAATACCATTTTCTTGAAAATGACTTCACACCAGGTGCCATAATTTTACAGGATGCTTTAGACTTTTATTTACCAACATCCTAGTAAGCTATTTCGTAAAAACTTGGTAGTTTTATTTTTCGATGTTTGCAAATGTTGTATATTCCCTTTAAGATTTGTTTCGCGGCCAATATCATTTTTTTCTTTTGAGTTCCCTGTCGTGTTCATTTTTCTGTTAGATGTTTCCTCACTATAATAAATCATTTCAGCCATGACAGCAGGTTTTTTTTTTTTTAAGGACTACTTGTACATAGTTGAAAGATGGAAAAGAGATTAAAAAGATGAACCTTCATTACTTAGGTACCGGTACATGTTCTGGTTACTTTGTGAATCCGTGCTCTCGACATAAAAAAAAAACCATGGCAGTTGTACTTGTATTTCATTTGATTGATTAAAAAAAGTAAAGGTAAAGTGGACGAACCTGTGTTCACAGGAACGGAGTGCCCATCTCTCTTTCGAAGTGATTGGGCCAGACTCGAGTCCATGAAATGCTGCTGTGGGGGGATCGCCACACCTCCTCCACAGCGAGTCTGTTACCTTCCCAGCATTGAATAATGCCGGTACCCATTTAACACTTGGGTTGAGAGGGGTAATTGAGGTAAAGCGCCTTACTCAAGGGCACAACATGCATGGCCACGGCGGGGCTCGAACCCACAATCTCACGATCGTGAGGCCTGTGCTCTACCGCTAGACCACACACGGCCTCCACTGTTTGACTGAAGTTTTTGAAATTGATCGTGTGTGAAATGGATCATGTGAAATTTGTTGTACATAAAAATTGGACACAGGATGAGTGTTAAAAAAGTGAACCATTTTATAAACAAAGAAACAAATATATAAAAATGAATAAGGCCAAAAAGAAAAATAAGTCGGTCTCTGGTCAGCGCGCGCGTCGATTTTAATCATGCCCGTCAATCTTTTTTTTTTTCCAAAATGTTCCGCGGTAGCTCCAACAGTGCCCTCTATTGCCGCACCTTCTCAACTTTTTTACCAAAGAGCACCAAGGAATGGGAAATTGCACCAAGGCAAATGATCGAGATCACCAAGGCAAATTATGGAGGACACCAATGTACATGAGGACACCAAAAAAGCAAAATAGTACCCCACCTTGTCTGTACAATCCAAGCTTGAAGGAAAAAAAAACAAAAGGAAAAAAACAAAAAAAGCTGCGTCGCCGCATCAATTCCGGAACTTTGGTCTGACCAGAGACCGAATATTTTTTTTCTTTGGCCTAAAACTGCTGCAAACAGCTTGCTGACTGGATTGACCAGAAATATTTATACAAATATGAAGAGAAAAAAAAATTGACGGCCTTACGTTTAAATCCTAGCAGAATCTTTGTCAAAGGCAAAACATTTTTAAATAAATAGATATTAAGCAAAAGTTTTGCCGCAGACAAATGTGCGCTTATGTTTGTTTAACGCCAGCACATCCTGACAGCATTAAATACACGTGCCCATTCATCCACAGAATGCACATTGACATGTGCACACACGTACATGTACATGTACATGTACGTTCTGTATACTCAACACACACACTTCAGGAAGCTTGCAACGACCCCGCGCATGTGAGTCTACATGTACATTTCTAAAGGTTATCGCAGGTTAAATAAGCTTATGCCGCTCTGTCGCGCTCACTTCCAGTCAGGCCAGTTCCACATTTATAATTTTGTAGGGCAGTGCAGGATTTATAGGATATGTGTCTCGTTTGTAGTGTAATTGACTTTGAGCGAATGTTGATTATGTGGGACATGTTCCTGTTAAAAAAAAATTAAGCGGAACTACAATGTACATATAGACGAGGATGTCGAATGTGATTTTATATACACAATGTACATGTACGTATTTTTAGGTTATTATGGGGGAATTCATATGAATTCATTGGTTTTTGTAATTGAACGGTTGAACGTTATGAATTTCAAAAGTTGGGATTTAATGAATATTAATGTTATGAATTACGATAGTGAGGAAGTATTTTTTTTAATTTTTTAATTTAGACCTTTTTTTTCATATTGAAATATTTGAGTTTCACATTTCTGAAACCCTAACCTTCTAGGGTGCGAAAAAAAAATTAATAATAATAATGAGAATGGAAAATTTGGGACTTTCAGGGTTAATGCTCAAATTCTGAAAGTAATGAAGATTGTGAAAAATAAATTTAAGTCATTAAACCCCGACCTCCTTGGCCTTTTGGGGTAGGGTGCATCCTCAATCCTTCAAAATCGTTCATTATTTCAGGGGTGGCCACTGCCTCAATCCTGCGAAATCCTCCAACAATCGCTGCTAATACCGGTACATGTACATGTACATGTACGTTGCGGCAGGGTAGATGATTTCCAGAAGCAGTGTGAATGATTTCAAGTATTATCTAGGCCTAAATTCATGCATGGCAAAGTATAAACAACACAAGGTACAACCTAATAAAACCTTGACACAATGCATCCTCCAAAATCAACTACAAATTTTGGTCATACAGCCTCAATCCTTCGAAATCTTCCACTTACATGTATGCAAAGAAGATTTTGGTGGATTTTGAAAGGCTAGGTTAAAGTGATACATGTACATATACAAGCCCAATTCTGTCCAATTAAAAAAAAAAAAAAAATTCTACAAAACTTTTATGAGCCCATTACATGTATCTTACATGAAGACGTCAAATAATGAAATACGATAATTCTGCAAATTAAAATTCATGAAGCATCTTTTTCTAGAAATTGATACCTACAGGGGAAGAATTATTCATGCGCAGATCAGCATCACTTTCAAATGCCCTGTGCCTGGGAACTAAGACTCCGTAGGGAAGGATCTTACAATGCGTGGCACAGGTTGTTAACATGTGAAAGACCTTTTCGCTGTCACTAGTGATCACAATGTACTGCAGTAGTAGTGGCAAGACAAGTGGCAAAAAGTGGCCTGTATGAGGGCACATGTGAGCGCGCCAGGGATATGCGACGTAGATGCCGATTAATTTGATCTTGCAGAGTGGCCTGTTTGGCTTGTGCGGTATTGGATTTTGAGAGTCCCCAGTAAACTGTCACAATAAAATCATGGTTTTCGGTATTAGGCCAAATAAAAAAAAACATGTTTAGCATCCACGCCCGCTTCCTTTTTGGAGGCGGCCGGCTCTTTTTTTTTTTCTTTTTTCTTTTTTTTTAAACCCAAAAAATTATAAATTTTAAACAGTGACATCATTTTGGCCTCTTTGTCTGTTGCATCTAGCCCATGGGTATAAAGCTGGCATGTCATTTCCTGAGTCAAAGTGACGGCCATTTAAAAAACAAAAAACCGGCGGGCATCTTGAAAAATAGCCCGGTCGGGCAGCCATCTTGGAGGGGGGGGGGAAGGGTCGCCTCCTTCCTTTTTTTCAAAAAGGCAGGACGCTAAACTTTTTATTTTGGCCTTATCAGGTACTTTTCTGGGCAGATTATTATGTATTGACAAGGGCGGATCCAGAACACAATTCTGGGGGGGCCAAAAAAATTTTTGGTCCCCCCAAAAAGTGGGTCTAAAAAATTACGGCATGGGGTTTGGGGCCCGCTAGGGCCTCGAAAAATTTTTGGATTCTAGATGCTCTGTGGTGCGATCTGAGGCAATTTCTGACCACTTTAACCAATTTTTTTGAGGAAAAGATGGTGGTGTACTCATTGCCTGCCTTTATTGCGATGTCACATTAAAAAGAAAAAAAATTGGTTTCGTTTTGGGGGGGGCCATGGCCCCCTTTGGCCCCCCCTGGATCCGCCCTTGTGTATTAATACAATAAGAAATGTGTTGATAGAGAAACTGCAGACAGGCAGTGTGGGCAGAACCTCAGAGGCCCTGCTGGATGTCTCGTAAGCACAATTTTCACCGTGACCACAAGAAATTTAACCCTCCTATGCAAACATGAGAATTAGCCTGTTTTTTGGCTGGTGAGGAGAGCCGGGCAGTGCTATTGTATAGGATCACCCGGTAATGGGCTAAATCTGGCCCGTTGTGTCCACCGGATGCATCACTTCCAGTGAATAGCCATTCAGAATCAATGGAAGAGAATTGTGTACACTCTGGGACCACATTTTTAAGGCTTTCCTAGTCTTGTTTCAAGTAGTATGTACCGGTACATGAAATTGTCTTACATTTTATTCAGTCTTTGAGTGTGTGTGTATTCAAGCATCATCATTGCCAAAAGGCGAGAACTTGATAAAATGAAAACGTTGTAATTGTACAAATGTACGTATAATTTATAAGCCAAATCGACGTCTGGTGCTAGCAAAGAATTGTCAAATTGAATTTAGGGTATAAAACCCTAGCTGCGGCTGTAAGCTTGTCTGTCATTGAACTAGGATCTGCGGCATGCACATGTATGTCTATGTACTGGTGTCCAAAAATGCTTTGTAAAGGAGAATTGGCACACATGCGCGGGTGAAACTTCAAATTGGCTTGGGCAATTCCGGCGTTATGCAATGTCCATGACAGAGCTGTTAAGAGCTCAGTGAATAAACCTGAAAATGTGTTTTTCAAATTGTATACATCCGTCATCTAGTAATGGTCAAGGAGATTACAGACTAGGAGTTTTGGATCATTTCTCTGAATCATTAATGAGATATCATGGTTAATTGGCTCTGTCGCAGAAATTACACTTCCTTTCGTAATGCTGGAATTGCCGCTTATTTGTTTTTGCTTTTGTATCTTTCCCTGCAGATGTTCAGAGCGCAATTACGACACATCCAAGTTTTACAATCGGGTGGCCCACTACCCGTTTGACGACCACAATCCGCCGAAGATCGAGCTCATCAAGCCGTTTTGCAACGACGTGGAGAGATGGTTGATGGAGGACAAAGACAACGTCGCGGTCATCCACTGCAAAGCAGGAAAGGTAAAAGTTGCTTAAAGGGCCCACGTACCGGTAGTGTGATTTTTTTTAATATGCAATCCAAAATGCACCTTTGAGTTTCATTTAACTTATTTTCAGTTATATTTTTGCCATTTTCAAGGGTATTTTGCTGCCTTTTGGGTATTATGCTAATGAAAATTTCCATATTCATGTGCAAAAGTGTGATGTCATTTCAGGCGAAAACCTCAAAAAAAACAACCGTTACAGCTATTTCGGCACCAAAAGTTGCCATACCGCATATACCCAATATTTGATCATCAACCGAATATTCGAAAAGCTTTTTGCCGGTTTGAATATTCAAAAAACAAAAGAACTACGCCATTTATACACACACACACATGACTGTGATGTTACTTTATCGTAAAGTTGCGGCACTTTCTTGTCAGGTGCCACTTTTTTGTCGATGGCGGTTCATTGTTCCCATCCTTTTAGCAGGTTAAAGCCCTTTACAGTTATAAAATACTTACTGCAAAACACTCCAGTGCCCCATATCGCTCACCGTACGCAAATTTTTTTAATGGGAATATACATCATTTGCTTTTGCTGTAATTTTCAGAAATGGATGGAATTGGGGGGTTGGAAATATAGAGCAAATATAGTTACACTGACTTTTTTGAGGTTTTGGATTCGAAAATGCTATAAAAACCAAGAAAAACAATCATTTTCCTGTAGTCTGGTTCCCTGACTCCATTTAAGAAGAAACAGAGCAGTTTACATATATTGGGGAATTGGAAGGTCAGGGAACCAGTCTAGCTGGCTTGTACCCGTTCATAGGTGTGTAATCGAATGCAAACAAGTGCGATGGTCAACTGAGGCCAGTATTTGGAAAAAAAAGCCAGTTTTTTCCAACGCTGCTCGGCCGATCAGCATTGGAAATTGATACAAAAATACCACTTTTCTTGAAAATGACAGTTTACCAGGTGCCATGATTTTACAGGATGCTTTACACTGTCATTCACTAACAGTCCAGCAAGGTATTTCAAAATGATTTGGTAGTTTTATTTTTTGATGTTTGCAAATGTTGTATTTTCCCTTTAACTGGCGCACTCTTCGTGCAACTTTTTTTTATGGCGCAGCACGTAGTTGCAGCTGGCAGTTCGAATATATCCGAATATTCAGTCAAAAACAGTTTCGTGTAATGGATACTAAATTATTTGAATATGGACAGTCCTAATTTCCTTGAAGATTTGATTCCAACAATTCTAAAGACGAGATGAGTTTGAAGGCTAGGCAAGTCTGAAGGAGGGGGAAAAAAACATATTTTTTCCCCCAGTTCTTTGAATTAGCATAAAGTACATGTAATCTGCATTGTCTGTGAAAACAGTTCGTCAGGATTGATGTACATAACCATGCGCTTGACAGAATATTCCCTCCCGTCATTTTTTGGAATGAATAGCAAATTTGCACTTCTGGCTAGGGCTATATTACTGTTTTTGTTTTGTTTTTGCACTCGAAGGGGAGAACGGGTGTGATGATATGCGCGTTGCTCTTACATCAAGGGAAATGCAAGACGGCCGAAGAGGCAATGGAGAAGTACGGGGAGAAGAGGACACGAGACGGAAAGGTGAGATGACTTCCCAATCTGACTACCAAAATGAAACCTCCACGTGTCCTTAAGCTGGACGCTTTACAGTAACTTTTCTTGAATCCTCTTCTTTATTAGTCAGTGGAATATCCCCTTGCACAGCAAGGGTCTATGATATGTGAGCAGATTCGGCGATTAAATATGCAAAACAAGACTGCGTCTTGACTTCGAGATTCTGACCATTCAGCGGGTTCTCCTTTTGTCGGGTCTTCCGTAACCCATTGTTGTATTACAAAAACATGGCAGCCAAAATTGACCAATCAACTGCTTAGTCCACATTTTTGATCGAAATGACGTCACAGTTTCTAAAGTCGACTCTGATTGGCTGGCGCGTGGGATCGCATAAAACTTGCATTGCTCACATGTATCAGACGTTGGTTACGTAGAGGGCTCAGTTTGACAACGGGTGATATGCAGACTATTCTTATTATGGCCTCAACAGAGAAAAGAGAACACATTGTGGTTAAGAGGAGAATATCCTACAACTTAAAAGAACGTGGTTAACGGTTACAAAGTCTGTGTCCTTAAGCATGATACTTTACAGCAATATTTTCCCTTCCTTCCCCGTCTGGGTCCGTAAGACGAAAAATGAGATTGTTTGTAGAGGTGATCATTGCATTCCAAGAAGCATTCCAAGAATCCTATGTCCCTAAGCAAGCCACTTTGTCTCATTATTTTGTAACTACATGTATACACAGTCATCATGCCCCTCTTTACATGGTTAAGAATTTGACATTACACTTTTATTTCATTTTTGTATTACTTCATTTATTTTCTTTCTATACATTGCGACAGTTTTAACCATTTTCCCACTGAACAGCACGGATTTAGCAAGTTTAAAAAAAAAAAAATTTGGTTTCGGAGGTTATTTTCCCCCGCGAGTTGACCAAAAAAAACCCCTTACTTTTGATTATCTTGTCGTTACACTTTGCTATATCGCATTGCACCATCCTATTGATGCACATTGATCTTCTCCAACATTGTTTCCCTTTGAAAAGGAAAAAGCAAATCCCTATTCCCACGGTTTTTCTCCCGCTAAAACGGGTCGCTCACCCCTGAAAGATTGCAGCATTTTTCATCTGACGCGTATGAATAGTCATATTCACAGGTGCAGACTCGGATTGTCTGTGTGGGTGCCTCTCATTCAGGCCCAGATAATAAAAAGGGACAAAAAGCTACATGTGAGGGAGAGTGTGCATGGTTAAAAATAGCAACAAAAGATGTGTCTAGGGGCAGGAAAGTTATTTTTAATTTCTTAAGTGTGCGTTGGTACTCGATGTGATCATCTTGATATTTCTGTCCAGTCAAGTTATGTAAGCCTGAACGAAACGCTTACGTGCAATATTAATAATTTAGCCATAGGCAGTTTTACTCTGTTGTATTATTTTCGGTTCAAAAGTTTGTTCTGAAGATTAGATTACTGCATCGTGCAGAAGATTTGAAAATCACGTGAAAGATACGTTTTTGATAATCTAGAACTTTGCCTGGAAAGTGATTAGAAAAGTGATTTTTGCTGTATTTCAATTGTAAATGCCGCCATTGTCATTATTGATGAGGTCAAAAATTAGCTTTTTATTTTTTTGACTTTGTTGGATTCAGTAGTAAGGAGAAATGTTGTTATTGTTTACATTGCACTTTGTTTCTTCAGTTTTCTTTTGCCCGACCCTTTATTAATCCGCTAAAATCCTCTTTGCAAAATGGAGGATTTTGCAGGATTGAGGCTACCTTACATGGCAAAAGTGTGTTGCTGATTTTGGAGAATGCACTGTGTCAAGGTCTTGGGCCGGACCTTGTGTTATTTATGCTCAGCAGTGCATAAATTTAGGTCTACAATAGATTACATGTATACTCGAAATCCTCCGCACTGCTCCAGGATGCTACTAGCTCTGCCTCAACATATTGACAGTGATTGCTGGAGGATTTGGTAGGATTGAGGCAGTGGCCACTCCTCCAAGGACCACATTCAAGAAACAGGATTTGCGGCAGTATGGGGATTTTGCAAGATTAAGGTTACATACTAGCAAAAATGCCTAGGGAGTTTTAATGATTTGCCGATATCACACCTGATATGCCGATATCACACCTGATAATCCTCATGTCCATCTTTTTCTGCGAAACGTCCTACTCATAAGCCAAACAGTGGTTATGCACACGCACTACAATGTAGCGGCAAGCGTACGAATGACGAAAGTGCAGATGAATGCAGTTACTTATACCGTCAAGGATCAATATATCGATGCGACTTAACCGTACCACAGCAAACAGTCTCTGCTCCTTCCTTCTGTCTACCCCCTACCACCCCACACCCCCCCCAACACACGCACACACTTTGCACAAAATTCAGCCTTCCGTATTAATGAAGATCACAGGCACGTGCTTCGACCATGCAAAAATGATCATCAATTTGTTTCGACGATTGAAGATTCTAGCTCAGTGTTTGTGCCGAAGCTTTTTCTTCTTTCTTCTTTATTTTTTTGGTTAACACAAAAATGCCAAGTTGTTCGGGTCAGTACGCAATCATTGAACTGCCCAGTCCCGTTGCGTCCACTGTGTAAACAATGTACATGTAGGCGCAGGGTACTACGCGTATTATGCATATATCCCAAAATAAGTTGTGCGGAGGTTTGTACATGTCCCAGTACATGTAGATGCATAACAAATGAGTTAGTGTGATATAAAGTTCACAGTGGCTGTCTAGATGTCGGTGAGATTTTTCAGATTTTTTCCCCTGATTTAAGGATTTTTTTTAAATCTCTTTTGAAATCTGGAGTTCCTAAGGTTTAGCATTTATTCATAAGGCTTGTTTTTATTTAATTTTTTTTCTTCATTGTGCCTTCCAAAAAAAAATGACCAAAAAAAAAAAAAGGAAAAGATGAAAATGAATTGTAGTCTTATTTTATATAAAGTACTTGGCCTTATTACATGTAACTGTTTGTTACAGATGCACCTGACTTTCAAACTTAGTATCTCTTTTTTGTCTTGGGCAGTGCTGAAAAGGGCGAAAACCTTTTATAATTTAGGGAAATACTTTGTTAAACCTGACTTTCAAACTTAGTACATGTATCTCTTTTTTGTCTTGGGCAGTGCTGAAAAGAGCGAAAACCTTTTTTAATTTAGGGAAAATACTTTTTTAAAATTAATGTAAGTACTAATAGCGTGGTCGGGTTGGCACAACATCATGTACCTGTCCTGATGTCTCTGGTGGCCGCGGTTCTAATCCCGTCCGCTGCGCTGCGGGGATTTAAGTTGTCATTCCACACTCCAAAAGCGTGGGTTCCCTGGTAATTAAAGTCTTCTGATCTATAGGGTAACTCCGGCGTATCCCTCAGATGGCGATTCTTTGCAATGTCCTCCTGGCTATCATGACTCCTGGCTTTAGGCCAAAAAAAATAATAAGTCGGTCTCTGGTCAGCGCGCGCGTCGATTTTAATCATGCGCGTCGATCTTTTTTTTTCCCAAAAAGTTTCGCGGTAGCTCCAACAGCGCCCTCTATTTCCGCACCTCCTCAATTTTTTTTTTACCAAAGAGCACCAAGGAATGGGAAATTGCACCATCTGGTCTGACCAGAGATCGAATATTTTTTTTTTTGGCCTTATCACAGAACTGTGATGATGCAGTTAGTATATCTCCAAAAGTTTTTTCACCCTGAAAATTTTTTTCTCTCAATTTTTTTTTCATTTTTCTAAATGTTATTTGCAACTCCAACAAAGCATTCACGTTTACTTATGTTAACTTTGGTCATTTGAGCTTATTTGAAATTTTGACCTCATTTTGACCTTGACCCCATGATGACCTTTGACCCCTTGTTTGGTCATGTGGCATGTTGGGGCTGGGCTACTGATACTTTGGACAAAGTTTGGTTGAAAGCGGTCCAAGTATGTAGGAGCAATAGACAATGTCAATGTTTGTTACTAACGTACAGGCTTACGGAGAGACGTGATGATTTGTTGAGCTGCTACCCGCAGCTACATGTAATAAATGTTGGTTTAAGTTGACCAGCGGCGTCAGTTATTTTGATAAAAATATAATTTTGCGTCTGACAAGGTATAACCGTTCCGATCCAAAGGTGCTATTTACACAAGTACGGTGTGTACTGCTACAGTGGGGGGGGGGGGGGGGGGGAGGTCCTCATTTATCCAAAAAAAAAAATCCCATTTGTAACTGCCAGAAGGGTCACTGTTATTTTTATGCGAACTCCCCCTCCTCGGCTGTCATTTCAGAAAATATATCTCAGTTTGATTTGACAAGCACCGACATTTATTTCCGTAAATGTTATTTTTTTTTTTTTTTTTTTTCGTCGCGACAGGGCGTAACCATTCCAAGCCAAAGGCGCTACGTACAGTACTACGGGGAGATTATCCGAAGCAAGCTGAACTACGAGATGGTCCCGCTGCTGCTCCAGAGAGTACAGCTGGAGACGGTGCCCATGATCAGCAACGGCTCCTGCACTCCCTACTTTGTGGTCTACCAGCAGAAAGTCAAAGTCCACACCTCGGAAGTTGTCAAGGTGATGCTCGATTACAATCCATTAATTTTTTTTTTTCTTAAAGGGGCACATCGTCCTGAAATCGACAATTTTTATGTTTAAGATTGTTTACTTATCCTATTTCAAAGGTCTGGTTGAAAAGATACTAACTAATATCACATTGTTCCTGAGAAAAGACGGGGGAAAAACCCGGTTGTTTACTTCTTGCGCAGCGGACATTTTGTAGCAAAGGCACACGTATTTCCAGCAGTAAATATAAGTCTCCTTCTACCCTAGCTTTTGTGTCCATGATGTCAGACGATTCAATGTACATGTCTGGTGAACATACCGGTACATTCATGTATACACGAATGTTGTTTCCTCACACGTCCGCAGCATGCATTGCTCTGGTGGAACATCGGCGAATGAAATCACGACTAGCATTCAAACAGTACGATCCCGACCGTGCGATTTTTGGCCCCTGAAATTTGTTCTCGTAAGAATAACCCCAAACCGGCCAAATTTTAAAGGATGGTTGTGTGGACGTTTATATTCTACTTTTAAATGCTCTTTCCAATTGATATCATTTCCTTGAAAATGAATTCTTTTTAGCCCAAAAGGGCACTTTCCGGGACATAGTGCCCCTTTAAACTTCCTGTAGCTGTTTTGCTAATTATTGGAGAGGTGTTCAAATTCTGTTGTACTGTTAAGGTCACTTTTCTGTTATGCCTGTGTCTGTTAAATGTTTTGTATATTTGATTGGTATTAGTTTTGCACACTTTGCCCCACTTACTGGCAAAAGGTTGAGAGTTCATCCTCCTACATGTATAAAGGTTCCTTTTCCTGCAATGTTGAATCCATCAAAAGCCCTTCATAAATATACAGGGGGGGGGGGGGGGGAGGGGAGATTTGTCAGAATATTCTTTTTCTGATTTCAGGGTTTTTAAAGTATCCTTTTTTAAAATCTGGACTCTCTGAGGTTTTACCAGAAAGGTGATTTTGAAGGCATAATAGCTCTCCTCTAAAAGTACAAGACACATGTAGTATACCCGGGACCGCGGTATCTTTCTCACGGTATATCAAGGAATTCGCGTGGCAACATAACATTTTTTTATTGCACGGAGCCCATAAGAGTGTAAAACGATCTTGTTGCTTGTCGCCAGTTTTAAGCTATTTCTTTTTGGGGGGGGGGGCACAAGAACCTAATCCATATCATCTGCTTCTACAAGGAGCTTCGGCCAAAGTCATCTAAAATGAAAAGAATAATGAGAACGTAAAGTCTGATTTTTTATCTTCTCTTGTGGACAACTTTGCACAACATTAAATTCAAATGGAACGACAATCCAAGGGAATGTTTTTCAAGCAGCCAACACTGTTCCAAATTTGACGTAGCAGTTAATATCAGATCTTCATCAGCAGGGAGCCTGTCGCATGTTCCATATATCGCACAACATTTTGACTGGTAACCTGTTGACGCTGTATCGGGAATTTTTTTTTTCGGCGCAGAGCAAAACTGTCCTCTATGCCCGCTCCGCGAACTCGTCCCCTATGTCCTGTGGGAAATGCAGTAGCGGATTAGCCAAGCTATTTCCCCTTAGTCCGAGAGGACCGATGCGCGTGTTTGGAGATTTGCCGGTCATTGCCCCCTTCTGTTTTCTAGGAAGACTCCATGGCTTGTTGATCGATAGATTGCAGTTGGCTTCATTTGCATTTTTTCAGCTTGCAAACATGCACCGAGTTCACGCATTCGTCCTTCTTCAGTAAGGGAATACGGTAGATATTGTTTTAAAGGGAATATACATCATTTGCTTTTGCTGTAATTTTGAGAAATGGATGGAATTGGGGGGTTGGAAATATATAGCAAATATAGTTACACTGACTTTTTTGAGGTTTCGGGTTCGAAAATGCTATAAAAACCAAGAAAAACAATCATTTTCCTGTAGTCTGGTTCCCTGACTCCATATAAGAAGAAACAGAGCAGTTTACACACATTGGGGAACTGTAAGGTCATGGAACCAGTCTAGCTGGCTTGTACGCGTTCATAGGTGTGTAATCGATTGCAAACAAGTGCGATGGTCAATTGGGGCCAGTATTTGGAAAAAAGCCAGTTTTTTCCAACGCTGATCGGCCGACCAGCGTTGGAAATTGATACAAAAATACCACTTTTCTTGAAAATGACGTATACCAGGTGCCATGATTTTACAGGATGCTTTACACTGTCATTCACTAACAGTCCAGCAAGGTATTTCAAAATGATTTGGTAGTGTTATTTTTTGATGTTTGCAAATGTTGTATTTTCCCTTTAAACAAGAACGTTTAAAACCGGCTTTGGGCCTGGACACTGATAATGGCTGGAGCCGTGGGCGAGGGCTATTATCTGCAACCAGGCCCCTAGCTGGTTATAAACGTGCTTGGTTAATACCGGCCAAGCACATATTTATTCCCATTCATAAATACCTTTTGGTCAAAACAAATAAAAAATTCACGAATTTTGTTCAACAATTTTACCTCGTGTTCTGTGAAATATCCCGCTTGCCATATCTATGGTACATGTGCCTCACATGAATTGTGCTTAAAAATCTCCTTTCGTGGAAATTGGCATGCGCGGGGCGCATACTGTGCGATGTGGCGCAGAATGCAGCGGTGTTTTACCCACGGTTTAAAACCACCCACGTAACGAGCTCTCGACCAATAGGAATGGGTAAACTGTCTCAGGTATTTATGAATGATATGAATTACTCAGTGTTGAGTTTCTGAATGCATGTAAAATCAAAAATAACAATAGTCAATCTCATGGATCATTTGCATATATCCAAAAAGTAACCTGCCAAATTATTATCAAAAAAGCTTGTTACCTAGATTAAACATCTGTGAAATTATTCCGTCTGGCTTGCTGTCATTAAGAAGAAAACAAGAAATGTAGGTGATTTCCAATGACCACTCGATTGGCAGATTTTTTGGAATAAAGTCATGTTTCGAACAGTTGTGCACGGTTTTTCACTTTTTTTTCCCAAAAAGTGTAGTCTCCACTGCAGCTGACATTTCAACAGGTTAGGTTTTAAACATTCCCCAGATTTTGAGTTGGAAACCAAAAAAAAAGAAAAAAAGAAAAGCAAACGATCCTATATGCCTTTGAACGAGACAAATTGTTTTGACTTTCTTGAAAATGGTGGCCTTGTCTATTGTGGAGACTATTTCTGTACTCACTTAGACATTTTCATAATCATCCTAAGGCTATCTGCTTTTAGTTTACATGAAGTTAAATGTATGTGTTCAAATCCCATTCGATTTTGACTGTTCAACATTCTTTCTTTAAAGCTATAGTGCATCATTTGCAGCCATCCGAAAAGTAACTGGCTTAATTATTGTTGAAAAACATACTTGGTTGAAAGATAGTAAGGGGACTAAACTCCCTTTAAAATTATTCTTTCTGGCATGCTGTCATTTTGAAGTAATCAACGAAAGAAGGCCTTTCCAACAATGCGTCTTAAGACGCAACGTAGGAAAATTTAAATTAGTAGTTTGTTTTGTTATTCGGCAAAGCGCGTGCAAGCATTGGCACGAGTGACAACGCACACGCACGCGCGGTTGCTATAATTCGTCAGATCAGTGCGCGACATCGCGTAGCTGCAATCAGCTCAGTGAGAACGTGTCTCGGACGCTGAATTCAGGCCCAATTCAAAACATGATTCAGCAACTTTTGATTTGAAATTGAGATCCCGGAATGCTGTTTTTCTCGGAATATACAGCTGAAGCTGAGCTGAAATTCATCAGGTTAGTTGTTCAGCACCCCTCTTTAGATTTTGAACACTTTTGTTGCTTCAAACGAACAAAATGCACAATTTACAAATGATGGACTGTATCTTTAAATTATGGTACATGTTGTAGGCCTTATTCATGAGTCGGCCATATTGGATTGAAAGTTAAGTAAAATCTTTATTATTTTTTGAACTGCAAAGAGAAATGAAAGAAAATTCATTTATAATAAATTCCAGTCTGCTTCAATGAATAATTGAAAATTTGTAATTGAACGTTCCCCAATGTTTAAAGCCATATTCAACAAAAAAAATACAGTAAAATAAGGCTGCATTGTGCCTGTATAAATAATTAATGAAATACAGTCAGGGAACTCAACAAAAATGGCCAACACGTGAAAAAGGCCCATATACCGTACAGTTGTACAACATTTTCTTCTGCTGTAATGGCGCAGAATGCAGCAGTGTTTTACCCCTGGTTTAAAACCACCCACGTAACTAACGAGCTCTCGACCAATAGGAATGGGTAAACTGTCTTAGGTATTTATGAATGATATGAACTACTCAGTGTTGAGTTTACGAATGCATGTAAAATCAAAAATAACAATAGTCAAATCTCATGGATCATTTGCATATCCAAAAAGTAACCTGCCAAATTATTATCAAAAAAGCTTGTAACCCAGATTAAACATCCTGTGAAATTATTCCGTCTGGCTTGCTGTCATTAAGAAGAAAACAAGAAATGTAGGTGATTTCCAATGACCACTCGATTGGCAGATTTTTTGGAATAAAGAGTTCTATAGACAAAGTCATGTTTCAAACAGTTGTGCATGGTTTTTCACTTTTTTTCCCAAAAAGTGTAGTCTCCACTGCAGCTGACATTTCAACAGGTTAGGTTTTAAACATTCCCCGGATTTCAATTTATGATATTATTGGAAACCAAAAAAAAAAAAAAAAAAAGCAAACAATCCTATATGCCTTTGAACGAGACAAATTGTTTTGACTTTTTTTGAAAATGGTGGCCTTGTCTATTGTTTCTGTCTCAAAAAAGTCTTAAAACCTTTTTAAGAATCCATGACTTGTAAATGCTACCTTGGGGAGACTATTTCCGTACTCACTTAGACATTTTCATAATCATCCTAAGGCTATCTACTTTTAGTTTACATGAAGTTAAATGTGTGTGTTCAAATCCCATTAGATTTAGGCTGTTCAACACTCTTTCTTCAAGGTACATGTTATGGGCCTTTTTCATGAGTCGGCCATATTGGATTGAAAGTTAAGTAAAATCTTTATTTTTTTTTGAACTGCAAAGAGAAATGAAAGAAAGTTCATTGATAATAAATTCCAGTCTGCTTCAATGAATAATTGAAAATTTGTAATTAAACATTCCCCATTGTTTAAAGCCATATTTAACAAAAAAAATAACAGTAAAATAAGGCTGCATTGTGCCTGCATAAATAATTAACCCTAACCCACCTCACTCCTCCAAAATCCTCCTGGCGGTTTTGGAGGATTCTAGAGGATTGAGGATGAATGGTGATTGAATCAAATGAGGATTCTGGAGGATTGAGGATGAATGGTGATTGAAGCACATGAGGATTTTGGAGGATTGAGGATGAATGGTGAATGAAGCACAAGAGGATTTTGGAGGATTGAGGATGAATGCATTTTGAGGCAGGACTGTCTGATGATTTTGAAGGATTTGGCGTTGGTTATCCTTCATTTAAACACGAGTGCAAAGTTTTGGGATGAGGAGGATTTTGGAGGATTGAGGATGAATGCATTTTGAGGCAGGACTGTCTGACAATTTTGAAAAATTTAGGCGGAGTTGAAAAATTTTGGAGGATTTTGGAGGATTGAGGATGGTTGTAAGCAACAAGGGCCTAGGGGGTTAGGGTTAATGAAATACATTCAGGGAACTCAACAAAAATGGCCAACACGTGAAAAAGGCCCATATACCGTACATTTGTACAACATTTGTTTCTGCTGTAATGTTCAGAAATAGGATGGATTTGGGGATTAGTATTTATTAGCAAATATTGGTACACTGAACCAAGGGAAAAAATTGTCGTTCTTGTAGTTTGGCTCCCTGACCCTACTTCAGACGAAACGGAGCAATTTACTATGAATTGACGTCGGGCAGTTGTCAGGTCAGGGAACCAGACTAGCTGGCTTACACCCATTCATGGATGTGTAATCGATTGCTAACAAAATGTGGACTAACTTCAATTTTTTAAACTGGGGGCAGTATTTGAAACAAAATAGTCAGATTTTTCCAATGATGTTCGACCGACCATCATTAGAAATTGATACAAAATTCCACTTTTCTTGAAAACGAAAGCACACCAGGTGCCATGGTTTCACAGGATGCCTGAGACAATTATTCACTTACATGTACAGTCAAATGAGGTATTTCATAATAATCGGGTAGGTTTTTTGTTATGTTTGCAAATGTTGTACTTTCAAGTTACATAATGGAAGGTCAGTTATGTAACATCATTTTGCCGATTCACGATATCTTATTCCTGCGGGAGGAAGTAGCATGAGTCACTCAAGACAGTCAAGACGGTGGGTCTATTTTTAAAACAAGACGAGGCCAACCTAGTCAAGATGGCCCCAGAGTGCATGAAATTCTGTTCAATTGATTCAAAATGGCCTCTCACCAGAAGTCTGTACTTGGATCTGCTTTTACATGTACACCATGGGCTGGATTGAGCCTATTTGGTGGCGTTACTGAGTAATCATTATGTGGCCTGTTCTGTCAAAAGCAGACGCTTCTGAGCAGAGGTTGAAATTGAGATAGGGCCAAAAAATGCTGTGTGGGGTGATTTTTTTTTTTGATTTTCTAATTTTTGCATATTTGTAATCTTGAACATGTCTAAAATATACTATAAAAGTTTGAAACCCTAATTTCGAACTCTAAATAAAGTATTTTTGATGATTTGTTAAGGTACATGTATATCAGTTAAAGAAATGTCACTTGAAACAGGTCTTAAAATAGACCCCAAACTTTAACTGCCGTTTTCTACTTTTTGACACGATGAACTTCAAAATAGCATAACTTTGCCCAGGAATGACCGGTTTCAAAAATTAAACCACCTATTAAAAGGAAAATGTACATATTTTAACAAAATGCAAAAAATCTCATTTTTGACCTTATGCCCAGAAAGGTCTGATTTTGACAGAACAGGTCACATATACGACAGCGCTACCCGGCTCAAACGCCAGTGAGTCAGTAAGTCGGTCGGTGAGCAAGAAAAAAAAATTTAACCAGTTCACGTCGGACGACGTGTATACCGTACACGGAAAGGTTTTTCGATATTCGGAACGAATGATGGATAAACACGCAATGAGCGAGGCTGGAAATATCTGTCTGCTACCCTCGCAGCGAGCGAGGCCGGAAATATCAGGGTGTGCTACCCGCAGATGACGGCCTGAATCCGTCTGGCATCATGGTTGGTAAAAAAAAACAATTCCGCGCCAGGGTCCGGTCAATGTTAAAATATTCCCAGTGCAAACTGGTTAAGGGCAAGATTTGTCTGTCTCTGAGCAAGATAGCCACCTCTTCCCCCCCCCCCCCACCCCTTCTCATGTACAAACAGAAGAATCCCTTCCCACCCCTCAGCTGGTACCAAAATGGTTTCTTTCTTTGTTAAGGTTTGGGTCTATGTGGGATGGGGATCGTCACTCATCCTTGGGGGGGGGGGGGGGGTCATTGATAGACTTGCTCCCAGTCATCTAATTACTTCCAGGAAGGAAGGGCACGGACACATAATAAATCTCCATTATTTCATTAGCCCAATGAGGTGGGCAGGCCTTTGTCTCTTTAATTCCATTTCCTTGTCAAATTAATTTGACAGGGCCCATCCCTGCTGACATCCCCCAGGGGCCCCCTGGATGCCAGGGGGCCAGGAATTGTACATGCAGCTCAGTAACAGTGGACACAAAAATGGACAACTCCGTATTCAAAATCAGAATTGATAACTTTGTGTTGAGGCGTTGAAGACACCCAAAAATTCAACATTTCTACGCCCAAACTCACATGATCCCTGACTACATGGCATGTACATGTATGGTTTATGGCTTCTGACTAGCGCCCCTTGAACATAAACATTGACAAATTTGGGAACCGCCAACATAGGGCTGGATAGCTCAGTTGGTAGAGCACCGGAACGGCAATCCAAAGGTTGCAGGTTCAAATCATGCTCCAGTCAATATCGTCGGTCAACTTCAAATTTGTTTTAAAACAACTTTCCTATTATGTGTATAGACACTTTTCCATTCAGTAGCCATCTTTGTAGCCCTGACCAAGGCTGTCTACCTCCAGGGGTGTAAAATCTCAGCTTTAAAGCTGATTTCAGCTTCTTCTTTTTTGTATTTCAGCTTTTTCCCTCACTTGTTGTGTACAAAAGTATAGGAGATTTCCGGAGTTCAGCTTGTTTACACCTTTTTCAGGTGTTTTCAGCTATTTTTATCAGTGGTTACTCACACCCCTGTACCTCTTCCCTGAACGAGCGAGTGGCCACTACCGTACAGCTTAGGCTGATTTGTCCGGTACCCATTGCACTGTACTTGCGACGGCACACAGCGCCGCCTACACTAGCCTCAACGATCCCCTTGCTTGCCTGCATCGGATGCCCCCCACACATTTCCGTAAAGAGTACGAACAGTTAACCATTGCCTAGTCGAGGCCTTGATTCATTTATAAGAAAACAAGAAATGTTGGTGATTTCCAACCATCAGTCAATTCACTGATTTTTGGGAATAAAGAGTACTATTGACCAAACACTTGTTTCGTGATCAAAAGAATGTGCGTGCTTTTTCACTGTTACCTCGAAATACATGTGTAATATCAAAAAAAAAAAAAATGAAAAGAGGCAGATACATCTACATGAATCTTCTTTTTCTGCTCAGTCGTATGACTTTTTTGTCTCGCATGCCCGGAAGTTTGATTGAGTTGATTCGATTATTTCCACGTAATTTGATTGATTTGATGGGATTATTTTATATGTAATTTGATTGATTTGATTTGATTTGAACATTGTCAGGGGATCAAGAGAGGGGAGAGGATTATTGAGTTTGACATTCCCACCACGGTGCCGGTCTGCGGCGACGTCAAGGTTGAGTTCTTCCACAAAACATCCATGCTTGTGAGTCCTCTATCTTTACTACGTTGTCCATACAGGTTTCTCACACAAAAAACGAGCCCTCAAAGCTCCCTCTTTTTCACAGCTTTTAAAAAAATACATCACAAATATCGATAGACATTTAGAGAGAATACTTCATTAGCTTTTCAACACCAAACAAATCTTTCTAATCAGGTAAATATTTATTAAGTAATGACCAATTTATAATATGTGCTTTCTTTAATGTCGCTTTCTTTAATGTTTAAATATTTCTTACTTTATTTGGTTCATTTGTATTTTTTTTTAAACAATAGTCATTTATCCTTTTGGAAGTAACAGTAGTCCTGAAAAGGACTGTTTGGTTAACTTCTTAGATGTTTACTGTGCTGCTCTGTCTCTGCCCTCTACTTGGTAGCCTTTTTCACGAATGTTACAAACCGTGTTCTTATTGCGGCAGTCAAAGTATCAGTCACCGTGGGCAAAGCAAAAAAGCAGTACTTGTATTCAATTGGTCATAACTCAATAAATATTTGCCCGATTGGAAACATTTTTTCGGTGTTGAAAAGCTAATGAAATATACTCTCTAATTTTTTTATACAAGCTGTGAAAAGAGGATGTTTGGAAGGTTTTTGTGATACACCCTATATAAAGATATTTCCTTCATGTCAGATATAAACTGCCATTCATTATAACTGTGGCACATACATGTACAGAAATTCTCATTTTACTGTGGTGCTTAGTTTTTGCATTGTTAGACCTTTTCAGTTAGTGTTTGATAGGTTTTACCCTTCACCAAGTGAAATTCATTAGCACTGTTCACTCGGTGCTGTCCGAGGGCTTGCGAGAAACAAAATCCACAAACTATGGGTGGGACTTGAACCCACGACCTCCTGCTTGCTGGTGTAGACATCTTACCACTCAACCAATGAACTTGCCAACCACATTCGAGCCCTCCTACTGGTTGTCAAGTCGAGTAAGCCTGGTTGTCAAGTTGTAAAGATGTCTGTACTACAGGCTTTCAAGTATTCCTACTTTTCCTACTTTTTCCAATATTTTTTTTACCTTGCTCCTACTTTTCATACTTTTTTTCTTGTAATGCCTACTTTTGTCTACTGTTTTGTCCCACAACTCCGGAAAGGGAAATCTCATTGAATATTTTTCATAACAGTGTTACACACTGTCATATATGTAAATCACACAATGAAGGGCTTTGGCGCAGGAGTACTGCAACTGTACTTCCAAGAGCTTAGTTGAGGATGGAGCACAAGTGTTGTGAGTATACAGAACATGCCAAATGAGGCTCATGATGCTGTGGACATGGGTGAAGATCAAAGAAAACTACTCCTGAAGGCCCACAAGAGTCCTACTTTTATCCTGATTTTGTCCTCCCAAAGTCCTATTGTCAAGGGTTTTTGGTGAAAGATGAAAGCCTGGCTCTAGTAGCGGGTTCAAGTCCCACATGTACCAATGATAATTTAGTGTTATCCGTTGTTATTATTACATGTATCTAACCACTTCTGTCTACAATTCCAGGACAAGAAATCATTGTTCCACTTTTGGTTCAACACATTCTTCGTGGTCCACCCCGTCACGGAGCTGGGCCGGCCCGGGTCCGGGACCTGCAACACGGAGACGGTGCCGCTGGCCAACGGCAGCGAGGAGCTGGTCATGGGTCTGAACAAAGACGCCCTGGACAAGGCCAACAAGGATAAGACCAATAAACTCTACTCCCCAAATCTCAAGGTAAAAAAGGGAATGTAGGGCCTTTTCAAATGCCGGCTTTGTCTTCGTCTTCATCTTTGTCTTCGTCCTCATCTTTGTCTTCGTCTTCTGCTTCAGAAGATTTTAGGCCCCCGAATCACATGTAGGCTCTGGCACAAATTTGATATGAGTCAAAGGTCCGAAGATTTCCATTTGGTTTGCGTTTAACCACTTTGCGCCGGGATTATTTTTGCCGAAAATTTCAATTTTTGAAAAAGGCAAAATTTTCCAGCCAACTTCTGATATACAGCCAAACGCCACAAAAACTGATTCGCAAGAGTCATTTATTTGTCAGCATTTGTTCGATATTTCTTGCCGAAACCTCATATGTTTTAATACTCCAGGGTGTGCAATGGAGCGTAAATTGTACAACAGTAGGCTGTGAACAACGGCCAATTCAAGATCAACACACGGTCCGCCTCCACAGACTTCACGGACTTTGTGTGTTTGAACAATAGGCACGAGGGATTAATAGCGTGTTTAGACGTCCCCCGGAAACGGGTCGAGGCAATCTTGACGTCTTAACCCGTCAGCTGTGCCTGTGTATAAAAACAGCCAGAAAAAGCAAAGGTTTCGAAAACTCTCTTAATGCTCACCAGTGTTGTGGTCCGGCCTAATCACAAGTGTGGTCACAAGAAAATGCACATGGGAAAAACAGCAGAGTCACGTTTATCAGTTAACAAAATATGCAATTTACACTGTTGAAAGACGGCATTTAAATCTTTTCCTATCACCCTGAACATTTCCTGAATGTGAACATTTCCTACGAGCACGAGGTTGATTTGACATGTGATGTATGAGTGAATTGATTTTTCGTCGACCACAGATCCGGTTATACTTCACGCGGGGCAACGAGGGCGACATGGACAAGCGCTCGCCGAACCACGAAGACAACCTGAGTCCCTGCGGCAGCTCCAACGACCTGCTGGAGATGGAATCCTCAGAGTCGGAGGAAGAACCTTGCGAGGACTGGCCCTGCGAAGACGGAACCATCACGTTGGTATGATGACGGCCACACGGTCCCCCCCCCCCCCCCTCCCTCTTCCTCACTCTCCTCCCCTAGGTGCGGTGCACGAACTCCCTGCATACACACATTCTACCGTCTGTGCATGGACAGACATCCGTGTTTGTGTCTCTCTCCCAGGGTACCAGACTATCTCGGTTAGACTAACAAAGACAAGCCCTAGGCTTAGTCACAATCTCCTGTCTAGAGCTACAGTCTAGGATTCTGGATATAACTACATTGGGATCATGGTAGCAGTAGCCTTAGCCATAGGAACCAGTCCGCATCACCCATTAGTAAATTCTTCCTAGGATTTTAGCCTGTGATGGTTGATTTAAAAAAAAGGAAAATCAGGTCTAAAAAGGCTTATCAAAGGGCATTCTGATGGTTATTGAGTTGGCAAGACAGGGTGTTCGGTGTTTTTTTGAGAATTCAAAATAGTCTGGTGCCCTCCGAGAGGCAACATGTTGAGAAGCGTCAGTCGTTATCATGTGTACAGATCTGCAAGGTATCAAAAGCTGACATTTGGACAGGCACAAAAAATAAAAGGATTTATATTGTATGTAAAATGTTTATATCTATATATCATGGTACAGTACTTTTTATTGAATTTGAAGCAGCTGTTAGCTTCTTTGGTCCTACTCCCTCTGTATCTTCGCACCCGCCCGCTGTTCCCACGCACACCCACGCACGCGCACCAATTTGGTGGATTGTCTAAGAGATTGTACGCAAAAACGTGTCAGTTGTAACAAAGAGATAAATATGACAGGAACGTGGATGTAACTGCTATCATGCGCACACTACCCGCGCATAGGCACTATCGGTTTTTTTCGTACTCGGCGCCATGGACTCCCACACTAGTACCCCCTCAACGGTTACAAAGGGAGAGTTGGGAAGACCACTGTGGAGAGACATTTGAAGGCATGGCTGATGGCACCTGATGGCTCACGAGGAGACGTTAGGAGTTTGTGGGCACTCAGAATAAGATCAATTGTGCATACTTAGTCCCATACCCACATGAACCAGTGCATGCATATTATGGGTGCGTTCAAGTGGCTGAACCGGATCGACTCGGGTTAGCCCCGTGCTGTTCAATTAGCTCTGACGTCATTCTCAGGACTCACCTGTGTCAGCCACCACAGGCCCTGCTGTTGGAGCAGAGTCAGTGGTGGAAATATGTCACACGCATGAGTTGTTCATTTCAAGAAACGTAAAAATATGGCGGTCCGACAGCGGATAAGCTTAGTTGGCTTAAGCTTTAACCTGCGACAGAAAACCTGCGAAATAAATTTGCGCAATTTCTCCTTTTTCGTCTGTGTCCGTTTTGTTTCATTGCGACTTTTGAGGCTATAATTCCAGCCCAACTTTTTTGAGTTTTGCAGTAAATCTCAAAGTAAGAGGGGCATTTTGTCAGTGGCTACGGCCATAGCTATGGGCGTCACGTGAGGATCCTGATGGCCCGCGGTTAAGCATTTTACTAGCCCGGTTGTCGTGGCTAACCCGTCTGCCTTGACCCGAGTTGATCCGGGTGAGCTACTCGAACGCACGCTATACAAAGCCATACAGCATCTTCTTCGAAGCATCAGTCGTCGTCGGCAATGTGTTCAAATGTCTCTCCCGGTGGTCTCCCCCAACTCTCCCTTTCGTACCGTTGAGGGGGTACTTGTGCACGGAGCCCATCAGGGCTTTCAAAAAAGACCCTATAGTGCAATCAACTGTTTGTGCTCACAGAGTTCATCCATGTACATGCATATAAACATGTGAGCGCATGCGGTGTGTTCTGCAAACATGGGCCTGCTTGAGCAGCCACACTGCGCGTCTTTGTTCCTGCACTGAGTCCACGTTGTACTTGTAGATGGCCAGTCGTTGAGAATCATTTGGTCCGTACTGCTAAAAAAAACCTGCTTTTGGAAGTTTGTCTGAAGTTCTTCAATCCCCTGAAATTATCTGGCTGTGCGTTGGATCATCCAAGTCAGTCCCAGATGATCCTCTCAATACCAGGCAGTGGAGGGGCTTTAAATCGTTTCTCTCCAGGTGTGCGTGTGTAACAGGGAATAGGATTGGTTCACAAGATTGCCCTGCCAAAGTCTCGGCCAATGAGAAGGCTTCTTACTTTTACCCTGTGCATCCTGCAATGCAACGGTCACGATATAGCATATAAAAAGTAAAAAAATAACTCTACATTGTTGAGAAAAAAAAAACATGTACATGTAAGACACTTGTTCATAGATTAAAAATAAAGGAAACTGTACATTTCTTGCACCTTCAGCCCTAGTTTTTATATTTTAAAATAAGGAGTATATTATTGCATGTGAATACTTATATATTAAGCTAAGTTAAAAGCTGAAAGAGGGACAGAAACCTGCAAAATAAATTTGCGCAATTTCTCCATTTTCCTCTGTGTCCGTTTCGTTTCTGTTTCGGGCGTGGCGACTTTTGATCAATTCCTTTTGTTGAAAACGGAGGTCGGACGGAGTTTGGGAGAGAATGTCGGGAAATGGTGCAAATTTTTGCCAGATTTTTGTCCTCCAAAATTTCGTCAGGGAATGTACACACTTTAAAAGAGCTTTTACGAACAGTCGTACTGTGTCACAGCTAAATGTGTATTAAAACGTTAAGAGTTTAAAAACTAGTTAACAATTGCCAAAGGATTTTTAATATCACTGTTGTCATTATAAGTGTGTTTTTACATTATTGAGAGACAGGGGAAAACATCCAATGTACAATGTTTGTTAAAGTCATTTGTTAATTGATTAATTGGTTTTTTTTATAGATAAACTAAAAAACCTTCCACTGTAGTGAGTACTTGTAATATGAAATTTGTGGACGCCAATGATAAGAGTTTGCTTGACCGGAAATACTCCAAACGCTGCGAAGGTTGTAAGTGATAGTGTCTTCTCTGGAATTTTTTTGTTTTACATCGGTTGTTTTGGCAAATTGCCAATGTTTTCATCGGGAGATTGGTTTAAGGATGTCAAGCATATCTCCTGATACATTTTGCTTGAATCGTGTGGGCCGGGATTTTCAAGCGTGTTTCAAGGCAATAGTGAATGGAAAAACCAAGCGAGTATGACGCGATAAACGAGTTTGACATGATAAATGAGTATGACTAACGAAACACTATAGAAATTCACTTGCCAGAAATTCACTCGTGTCAAACTTGTTCATCTGCTGTGATCTAACAGGACTTCCCGATTAAAAAAAAGAATTTGAAACAGATACTGTTTTAATACTGACTGCAAAGGATTAATATCCCATTTCCTGAGAAAACAGCTCTTAAGATAACATTTATTCTATCATGCTTTATAAAATGATAAAAGTTTGGTACATGGTGATAGATTTAACTTCTAATGAACTTCCACTGTTTTTTTTTCATGCTTCTTATCTTTTGGGATGAGTCACCAGACTCCCCAAGGCAGTTCCACTAACTGCGCAAAAGGTTACCACCAGGGACCAGTCTACTGCTTCTCATTTTAAAAAATCCAGGTGACCATAACAAGTGACTATTGTACATTTTTTTTCCTCTCTAGTTTGTCAAAATTGTGACCGGAGAAGTCGTGTAGTTTTTAGACACTCATTGTCAAGTCAATCCTCCAGTAGTAAATTTACACAGATGTAATTTTTGTGGGCGAGAAAATTTGAGGAAATTAGCTATACTAGTACGTGTACCCACATGTTTGTGGACTGCACCCTTTTTGCACTCGTAAAAGCAAGGGTTTGTGTCTAGTGACCCGATGTACAAACAGAAAGAAATAAAATGCAGTTTACATAACAGTAGCTCTTGTGGGAAACTTGTAATATAGAATATATGTATAATTATGTACATAAAAAAAAACACTGTGTATACATATTGTATAGGGGGGCAAGAAAGAAATGTTCCAAAGACTTTATCGACCTTGGTTGACCAAAACTAAACAACAACAAAAATACGCCCGTGTTTTTCAGTATTTTTTTCTTTTTTCTGAAATGTTAGGAAGTAACACTTTTTTTTATTGCAGATTGTGTGACTGACGGTTGTTACATTGTTTGGTTTTTGTATGGTATGGTTTGGTGTCCATTTTGTCTAAAAAACGTGAAAAGTATTTGACCAAGTTTGCATTGAGGGGAAAAAAAGGTGAAATTTTGACAACGCAACTCTCTGGAAGTGAAAAAGAAAAAGAAACAAAATGTGAGTCAAGTCCTGGACTAGTTATGTGACTGCTAAATAGATTGACTTAAATTATGTATTTATTGTTTAAATCTGCAACTTTTTTTTTATATATATATTTTACTGCAAATTTAACTGATATTTGAGCAAGGTACTTAAAAAAAAATACTTGTATGTTTTCCTGTAAAAGTGTACCAGGGTAAAGTCCCGAACCACCCTTCCTGAAAGTTGAGATTTGTTGTAAATATTTGGCAGTAGTGACAGTTTGAGGCATTATATCGAGAAAGGAAACATGTCACTGTTCTTCGATAATTGGATTTTTTTCACATAATTCCCTTGAAACTCAATTCCTTGGCCTCTCAATAAATGTATTACTACGCAGGTTAATGATATAACACCCACAATTTTGAAAAAAAAGGCAAAAAAAGTAATATTCCATTCAATTGTACTTTATTTATAAAAAGGTAAAAACCAATCAACTTTCTATACTAAATATTGAAGAAAATTTGTTTGGGAGTCATTTGGGCTGCTTCGTAAAGCAGTTTCTGTTTGTTAAAAACACCAGCTATGTTGTGGAGAAAATATGTGGCAAAGTGGGTATTGTGCTGTCCGAAAAGTGATCGCAGCTTCCCTGTGTAAGGTTTTTCAGTGGACAACTTAATGAGTGGTCTCTTGGTCCATTCTGTAGGCCTGGTGGGTTTTATGTGATGAGACATCCCACAGTTGTTGACATATTGTGGCCAATTATCCATTCTGGCAGCTTAACCCTAACCTACCCAACTCCATCAAAATCCATCCCCCCGCCCAGTTTGGTGGATTTTGGGGGACTTGGTCCTGCAGGCCTGGTTTGACTAAATATTGATGGAGTATGGTGGACTTGGGCCTGGAGGCCTAAAGCAAAGCATGCATAGGAAGCTGTGTGATTGATGGATTTTGGCGGACTTGGTCCAGTACTTAGTAAAGGACAGTAGGGAGTTCAGGTTTTAAAGGCCAAACAGAGATGGTCTGTGAGATGACTAAGTCAGAAATGACTTTCGAACAAGAATAAAATCATATGAATAACAAGTCTGGCCCACATGTCATTTATAATTTGCATAGGAAAATGTGATAAGGCCACCTTTCCTGTTTGGCCACTTTCCCATCATGACCAGTTGTGGTAATTTGTCTAAAAGTGGCCGGTAGTCCAACTTGCCACTTCGGCCTTTGAAAATCCCAAATCAGGAATGTTTTAGTCTCACTTTGGCTGCTGACAGTGTAGCAGTCTGTCAGTAGTGACCAATTTTTGTTCTGTTCCATTGTGGCCTCAGTCCTACAGTAATTCTCCATTTGATTCTGGCCACTTGTCCATTGGTGGCCACTCTGTAGTTGTTACTTCAGGAAAAAAAAACTTCTGTAATGTCCTGTATCCCATACCTTACAACACTGTCATTAATAAAATGAAAACTACTTCAAACTTTGAAACACCTTGTCATTTTAATACTTAGACTAAAGCGTGCACATGTAATTGTGTGAGCAGACCAGTACAGCATATGTGAGGGCCTGTCATGTTTAACCTACTGTAGCTGTACTTTCGATATAGAACGACACAATAATTATGGAACTAGCAGTGCATATATTGTAAGTGCTTCAATCTGTATCGTGTTGAACTAGCAAAGATTGTGCAGCAAGCCATGTAATGGAATGTGGTCAGGATTCTAAACTTGGCAAAGTAACTCCATGGCCAGGGTACATTAATATTGTATCAGCGACATATTGTCAACACAGAGTTCTTTGGAAAAGGTTATTTGGCTTACTATATGCCTTTGTACTGAGGGCCTATCAAGGGAGCAATAGGTCTTATTCTTGAGCAATTGAGGGCGCCATAATGACATCATTATGGGATATAATCAGACGTGAATTCAAGGTTATTAACAATACACAAATTTCAAAAGCTCAACAGTTACTTTTTAGTATTTAAGTAAAGGTACTCAACTGCTTCGATGAACAGTTTTCTTTTTGATTGTACCCAGAAAATGGAGTGTGACAGCGCCCTCGCTTGCTCAGAATTATGGCATATTGATACCATGGCCATTTTCGAATTCCAGGCTTTGTCTCCAGTTTTGGTTTCATCCCATTTCTCCAGCGTTACATTGAAACAGAAAATAGTTAAATTGAGCTGTCGGCTTAGTGGAGGGTCACAACTTAGGGGCCTAAAACATGAAGCCTAAAGCCTGGAGTAAATGCTGCATGGTGACAAAACACAGATTTGAAAAACCTCCGTGTCAGAACATGGGTGCCATCTTGTCAAGAAGTGGACCAGTTGGTTGGCTTAGTAACCACATCTTCATGGTAACCAGTAGTAAATCTTTTTGGGGTCATGGTGGGATGGATATATACATTTGTTCTTTGTGTGCCATGATGCTAACTAGTTTTGTCAACATGTTGTCTATGCAGCCAGTTTCTGAACACGAAAATTGTAAACCACAAGTTCTATGGGAGACACTGCTGTCAAATGCATAGACTGCTCTCAAAACATAAAGAGCACCATGCAAGCACTAATTCGAAAGTAATTTATGACTCAAAAAGTCTAATTCCTCATAAATTGCTCGAGGTACATGCACAATTGCACATGCATTTTGTAACTCTGATATTAAGGAGTTGAAATTTTTTTGATAAATTTGAATTTTGCCTGCCTCAATTTTGGTCCTATACAGGCAGTTGATAGGCTGGTACCAAGTTGTGAATGCATGTCTAACATTACATCCCGGTCAGGGAGCCAGACAAGATGGCAGCCAAGTACAGGCTCATAAATTCTGTAAGTAAACATGGCTTGCTCGTTTCTGTAATGAAATTTTTGATAGAACATTTTCTGTTGCACTGAATTTAGGGTAGTTTGCCACGTAATTGTTAAAACAATAGTCCAATTTGTCAACGTTTATATTTTAAATGTACTGAGAAGCAAGTCCCTTGAAATCTTTCAACCCTCGCTGTACGAACCAATTTGTATATGTATGCACAAACTATGAACCCGAGTCTCGTCATTATCATGTGCTTGTACATAATGATAGTGTAAGCCCTCAAACTATGGCCACATATGAAGAATAAAAAAAAAGGTTTATTTTGGTCACAAGCGTCTGTGTCTAACATTGGTATTAAATTATGTTTGCTTTTATTTTGTGTTCTCTGTTTTTTGCATGTAATAACGAAAGTTAACATGAACAGCACGCAAGTTTGAGCGAGGACTATTGTTAACCTAGTCCAAAAATTCGGGACTCTCAATTCGCTCTTTTCACACTTCCGCCATGGGCATGCAGAGCCTCGATCTGGCAACTTTACACAATACATATAGCCGGTTCAGTGATTCCCGCGTCAGGGTTCAGATCACTGAACCGGCTATTTTTATTGTGTGAAGTTGCCAGATCGAGGGTCCGCATGCCCAATGGCGGAGCATGAAATTAGCAAATACTACTATGAGAGTCCCGAAACGTAAGATATTGAAAACATGCAATACAAGAAAATAGACTGGCACATGAAACAACCAGTCCAACACCCCCTTTTAGTACTTTATCAATCAACTGTGTCAAAAGAAACGTGGTACCTAGCTCTGTTTCTACACATTCTCTATGGTCATGCCACCAGACTACTGAAGGGTCAATCGTCACAAAAAAGTTGAGCATGCACAAGTCTAGTCTTTAGCTTCAAATTGAAATCACTTGGCTTCACTCTCAAGTGCAAACTGTTTAAAGAAAAGTCTCCTTTAATAATTAAATTGAGACCTTTGACTGGTGAAATACCGAGGACCTTGCCTTTGCCCCATGAAAATTTTGGAGAATTTTGTAAGCTGAGGAGTGAGTAAAGTTGGTGTGATCTTGTTTTGCATGTTTTTCTGCACTAAAGGTCGCAGTCTGTGGTTAACCATAATTTGACTAACTTCACTTGAACACTGGATGGATGGACTTTAGTTGAGTTTTTGGAACTGGAGCCTGGGGGGGGGGGGGGAGGGAATGGTTCCATCACTGGTTACCAATAGCCTCATGTGTCATAATGCATAGCAGGGAGCCAGGAACAAGAAGTTTTACTGATGACGTTTTGATCAGTGTTTGACTAGAGACATTTGTAGGTTGCTTTTTAGTGCGCAAGCATAAGTTACATTTCAAATCTACCACTAGTCGACTTATGGTCCTTGCCCAAAATTGCTCCAAGATGTTCTTATGGCACAGCATTACATCAGCTGATGAAAACATCTTTTCATTTACAATGTAGTATGTGCGTTTTCACCGGTTTCAATGTCTTGCTTTTCAGCACTCCAGACTCAAGAACAATTCAGTTTTGTGAAAATGGGTCTGGGAACGAGACAAGATTTCAGAAATTCCTGAATGTCAGCGCCAACTTATAGAAAGAGGACCAATTTGAACTTTCCCGTGCCCAGTTGGAATATTAAAACGGTCTTTATTAAACTTTTCACTGATGAAATAACCTCAAGTGCAAGAATTTGCACGTCAATAGTGTAAACTCTAAGCTCAATAACGCGACCCATGATGACTCTTAAAATAATATCCTGTTCTTTTTATAAAGTAAAATTGATTGATCACAACTCCACATGTCCGTAGTAATTCCTTAAACAATCAACTCAAGCCATTATATATGCAGATGTAAGTCGTTAGTTAAATTTACATGAGCTTTTAATAGTCATCCTCGGCTGGAATTTATCTTGTACACACATTAAATGTTTACTAAAATCAATAACTTGTTATGTTGTAATTTTTTAACAAATGTTAACACACACAAAATTGCCGAAAACATTGAAAAGCTCAATACGTTTTGTAAGTTGGGAGACAAAATTTTAACAGCTCATATATGTAAAACAAATCCTAACGTACTCTTCAACAAATTACTTTATTTTTACATCTCTCTCTTATTCTCAAATGAGAAAAAGGAAAATTACTTTTGTCCCAGAACTTGTAAAACAAAATACATGTAATTAAAATATTAGATTTTTCTACCTACTACTTGAAATGATGTCAAGTTCACTACAAATACGTGGAAAAAAAAGTCATAAGAGTTTTGAATGATTATTTATATACAGTTTCTGTACAAACTCATTCAAGAAAATTGAGGTTAACATGATCTCACTAACCTGAGGAACAAAAAATACATCGTGTATTTTAAGTTGATTTAGTCTTTCACACGAAATTAAAAACATGTCAACACTTTGCCAACATAATCACTCCTGTACAGAATATTGTACATATTTTGGTAATCAAATTTTTGAAAATTAATGTGTCGCACGTGAATGACGTGATGAATCACAATGTTCCTCTCAAATGCGAGCCGTTTCTACCAGGTAAGTTCCCAAAAGGAAAGAGAACACAATCCCCCAAAAAAGAAGAAATATACATTTGGTTGATAAACACTTGACCACAATGAGTTCACGACAGACATTGCAAAGCATGTGAAATAACATGTACAATGTGAATTGTATACAGGGCGAGTCCGAATGATCTGGACCCAAATTAAAGAAAACATTAAAATTAAGTAGCAATTATCAAAACAAGTACAAATGAGATACATGTATGTAATAGGCTGGTATTTTGGACATATTTGGTGAAAGTTTTGTGTATATCCATTGTACCGTTTTGAAGAAAAGCGCTAGCAAAGAACACACGCTAAAAAATACTCTGACCACGGTTCCACAAATGTATTGAAATTGCGTACCGATGTGAAGGAGTGTAATAAATAGAAACCTAGTCACGGTGACCGACTCACTTGAAGTTATTGACATGCTGCTCGCTTGGAGAATGATTTCACCGACAAAATTGTTCGGCTGTAACTTATAAAAAGGTCACCAACTGCCAAAATCATGAAATGTCCAATGAAAAATTTCCCAAAACGGGGGAAAATCTAACGTCACAGTGCACAATATCCAACCAACACTGCAGAATCCCATTGCCATGGTTTCAAATGCCTCTCACAACTGAATACAACCACAACTCGCTGTTGTGTACCGGTAGTCAAGCCCATCACAAGTCCAGTCCAGTCACGAGTAACACGAGACAAAAAATAATGTTGCGGTCGTCTTGATTTTTTTTCCAATTCAAATCAACGGAACCAAAATGAGGCTGGGAGAAAAAATAGTCTGGTTCCTTTTTGCACAAAAAAAACATTATCATTCAGTACTGTTATTGGATACAGGAAACATGACTGAAATGGTGTCAGTATGATAAAGGTCTACGGGTGACGACTCGTGACTGACTAATTTACAACTCCGCAGAAAAAAAAAGAATAAAAGCAATTTCTGGTCACGTTTTCTAGTCGCTGTCAAACTTGACCGAGTTGATGGCAGTGGAGATCGGCCCTCCCTTGTAGCTGCCCCGCTTCTTTTTCGTCTTCTCGTGGCGGAAGGCTTTGCCGCGGACCACCTTGAGATCTTTGTTGGCCCTGTCGCCCCAAGAGCCCCTCGAACCCCTCTGTGTCGACAAAAAAAACCAAAAGAATAATGAACTCAAAATGCACGCAAGGCACTAGCACTAGCTTAAAACTTTCATACATTGAAAAGTTAGTAGTATAACCACCATGGATCTTGAGTGCTCAACAGAGATTTGTATAAGGTATCAATTGTTCCACCCAAAGCAGATAGCCAGATGCGTTTTATACACTACCTTTGCCTCGAAGGAATTGTCCTGCAGTCTTGGGTCAATTTCATGGTCGCCTTCTTTGACACGTCTGAAAGGTTCAGCCTTTTTCTGTAAAGAAAAATAAAATTAAAAATTGCAATTGAATACACAAGAAAACACAATATTTGTTTCGAAATGATATTGAGAGACGGAAAGCAGAGGAACTTAATTTGGGGGGAAAATGCTAGTCTCGCATTCAGATCTGGAAAAATTTAAAACAATGTTGGCATCTTGAAACCTTGCAAACAGAAACTTCATGGAAACCTATAAGGCAGCACGGCATAATGTCACCCGATGGAAACATCTTTTCATCATTAGCAAGGTACCATTTTTACCATTTAGCTCTGACACAAGAACAATTCAGTTTTATGAAAATGGGTCTAGAAAAGACATAAGGAGATTTCGGAAGTTCTGGATGGCCGCACCAACCTATATTCCTTTACTGAAGTGTTTGGGCCTCAGGAAAGGAACAGCCAATCATAGGTTTATAATGTCAACTTACCATTCTGGGAACAGTCGCAGGGCTCTGTTTGTTCTTAGCCTGGGCCGGTGTGGTACTGACTGGTAGAGTCTGGTTGCCTGGTTTGGTGTCGTCATCATCATCGTCGTCGCTATCATCACTTGAGGAAGAAGATGATTTGGATGGTTTCTTCTACAAATTGGAAAAAGAAATTGAAGGGAAAAATGTTCCAAGCTGTCAAACTTCACATGAGGGCTAAGGTGGCGATGTGTCACATTTTGATATAAGATTTAAGGCTTTGCATGGTGGAGTATCAATACTTGTGTCACATTTTGCACTTTTCAAACGGCATCATTCACTTTCGTAGTTTCTTAAACAAACTAGACTCAATGTAGTTTATGCTTTTCCTCTATTGCCTCAACCGCCGTGCTTGTTACATTTACCTGTACCGCCCCAAACTGCCTCAGCACTGTTTAAATTTATGGATTTATCAGGAAATATATATAATGTAATACAATTTAGTACATGTGCTAATGGGTTTTACAGCACAGAATATGCATTTTTGACAACCCAGATGATGTAACCTACATTGAAATTTAGGGGAAAAATCATACATGTATGAGACAGTGTTTCGGAAAAAGTAGACATGCCATTTTTGTTCGATCGTAAACTTAACCACACCACCATCCAAAAGTGCCAAGCAGTGAATTTTTTTTTTATTCCAGGGGAATAAATACAATGTAATACAATGTATTACAATACAATGTAGTGCAGGTGCTAAAATGGGAAATGTTCTCTTTTCTGAAATTTAAACATTTATCTCTTTTTTTCCCCTGGACTTACCTTTGTCAGCACTTTTTTCATCACCACTTTCTCTTCCTCGCTTTCTGAGCTCGATTCGTCTGAGCTGCTCTCGCTGCTGTCTTTGCTCTTCTTGGATGCCTGGCTAGGCGTGGCTTTCCCGTTTGTAGCTTTCTGCGTTGCCTGTTTCACCGGTGCCTTCTTTGTCTCCGTTTCGCTCTCCTCCGAGCTTGAATCGTCTGAGCTCGAGGAATCGTCTGAACTCGAAGAATCGTCTTTACCGTTCACTGGGGCCGGTGTTGGCGTTTTGGCAGGGGTTTTCTGAGTCTGTGGTTTAGAGGTTGGCTTCTTTTTATCTTCGTCGTCGTCCGAGCTTGAACTGTCTGATTCCCCACTGCTGGAACTTTCGGCTGCTTTCTGGGTTTTTGGAGTTTGTGGTTTGGAATTCAGAGCTGGTTTTGTTTGCTTGGTCTCTGGCTCACTGTCTTCGTCAGAGCTTGAATCGTCTGAACTTGAGGAATCTTTCTTGGGTTTTGCTGCCGGAGACTTTGCAGCCGGTTTCGCTTGGCTGGGCTTTGAAGCTGGGGTTGCTGGAGCTGGCTTCGTTTTAGCGGGACTTTCATCCTCCTCTGAACTGGAACTTTCTGTGTCACTCTCTTCCTCGGAACTTGAGGAGGCGCTCTTTTTAACAACTTGTGGTTTTGCCTGCTGCACCTTTTGCGGCTGTGCAGTGGGTTTCTTTGGTTCTGCGCCGCTGTCGGAATCTGAATCAGAACTTGAATCCTCAGAACTGGAAGCTTCAGAACTGGAAGCTTCCTTGGCCTTCGATGCCGGGGTGGCTTGCTTTGGGTTTGTTTTTGCAGGCGGTTTGGCTGCTGGTTTGGCTGATGACGCCGGCTTTTTGGACGCATCATCTTCATCGCTTTCTGACTCGGAACTTGAAGCCTCAGAGCTGGAGGACGACTCTTTGGCTTTTGTTGCTTGTACTTTACTTGGTGCGGGTGTCGATCGTGCCACTGGTTTTCCGACAGTTTTAGGTTTTTCATCTTCACTGTCCGATTCCGAACTGGAGTCTTCAGAGCTCGAAGAATCCTTCCCTTTAGATGGAGTTTTAGCTGGTGATTTAGCAGGTGTTTTTGTTGCTTGTACTTTAGTTGGTGTTGGTGTTGATTTTGAAACAGGTTTTGCAACAGTTTTTGGTTTTTCATCTTCACTGTCGGATTCAGAACTAGAAGAATCCTCAGAACTTGAAGAATCCTCCTTTTTCGCCGGAGTCTTGGCTGGCGTTTTAGCTGGTGCTTGTGAGTCTGCAGCTGGTTTAATTAAGCCAGCGGGCTTTGAGGACTTCTCTGTCTCGGATTCTGAGCTGGAATCTTCGGAGCTTGATTCCTCTGAACTCGAAGACTCCGCCTTGGTTTTAGGGGCCGGCTGCACTTTGGGAGACTTTGCCTGGGTTTTGGGAGCTGGGGATGGCTTAGTGGCAGGCTTCTTTGCTTCATCATCGCTGTCCTCTGAGCTTGAACTGTCATCACTGCTGCTTTCTTCTTTCTTCTGTGCTGGTGTGGGAGTTACTTTCTTGCCTTTCGGGGTCTGGGTTTCTTTCTTTACAGGGGTTTTGGGTTGGTCTTCCTCACTGTCACTCTCGGAGTCAGAGCTGGATGAACTGCCGTCGCCGTTTTGTAAAGCTGCCCCTTTAGAAGGCGTCGTAGCAGCTGGTTTTGTGGCCTTTGCCGGTGCCGGTTTCTCATCCTCCTCATCAGAGCTTGAGCTCTCCGATTCAGAGCTGCTGGAGGCATCCTTGGTTGGTTTCTTGGCAGCCGGCTGTGGTGTCGTCTTCCCCACAGCTGCTTTCTTAGCCTGGGGCTTCTTGCCCTGCTTGCTCTCCGCCTCGCTCTCGCTAGAACTTTCACTGCTGGACTCTTTCTTCCGCTTAGTTCCTGTCCCTGGCGAAGTTTTCCCCTTTCCCTCCAGAGCCTTACTTGGTGTTTTCTTCTCCTTTTTCTTGGACACTGTTTTCGTCACTGGTGTTTTGGAGGGCGTTTTCTCGGTTTTTGCTGGTGTCTTTTCAGATGTTTTAGAGGGTGTCTTATCTTTCGTCTTCACTGACGTTTTGGACGTTTTGGGTGTTTTTGAAGCCGACTCCTCCCCCTTCAGCTTCTTCTTTGCGGCTGGGGATGGTGTGTCATCAGGCTTGGCTTTGCGTTTGACCGCACCGCTTGGAGAGACCGTTTCGTAAGTCTTCAGAATCTCAACCAGGTCAGGATCTTCCGGTTTTGGTGCATGTACCGGCTGAAAGGAAATAACGAAGACAAGTTTTATTACCCCAAGTTGCCATAAAACATGTTCGAAACAAAGCATCTTCCCCATTTTGTTCCCGCAATCTTAATCACTCAATTTCTTTATCTTGAATCAAAGAACAGTTGTCATGGTTGTAGCTTTGCAAGGATACATTTTTTAACAATGGTTGGTAGGCCTAAAAGTATTAATTTAATAATATTTAATAAGGTGTTTCACGGTATTTTATGTACACCATCTTATCAGATCTTGCCAACCATGCCAACGGGGCAATTTTACATGATTTGCTGTGTATGCATCGTCAATGAAAAACTTTGGCGCTTCCAAGTCATCATGCAGTCATTCTGAAATGCGCCCGTGTCTAGCAGCGCGTGTTCTTTTTGCCCCGTGAACAAGATGGCACATATTACAGTGAAAAACCTTATTTCTTTTAAATCCGATTAACATGATTAAATCATGATTAAATTTAATTTTAGGCCTAGGGCCTTAATCTTTTTAAAGCGAAAAAGTACAAATGAAGTAAGAGGATTTCCACAAAATCACAATGATTTGTTTTTAATTCAGCCAACTACAATATAATTTTTTTTAAATACAACTTTATAAACATAAATTTTATTGTGAAATAGCGTCAAGTTTATATTTTCAGTAAGTGTCCGGAAACTGGGCTCATCCGGATGGCCACTCACGGGTCCTACTAAAGCGCGTCAACAAGCGTCAACAAGCGTCAACAAGCGTCAACAAGTTTTAGTAGTCGTTAAGTGCGCGTCAACAAATTTTGTATAGGCCTTTGAACAATAAAAACAGCTTTATATGGTAGAAAAAGCAATAATGAACATCTTCTGCATATCAATTAAAGTTAAAATTATTTTAAAACTTGGTTTTTTTAACGCGAAATGTACGAAGAATTTGTCGATAAAAGTAGGCCGCCATCTTGTTTGGATGGCGCTGTAGACTTCGCGCATGCGTAGTATGGCTCTTTACACTTCACGCATGCGTAGTACGGCTAGCTACACATAAACAAGATGGCGGCCAACTTTTATCGACAAATTCGTCGTACATTTCGCGTTAAGAAAACCAAGTTTTAAAATAATTTTAACTTTAATTGATATGCAGAAGATGTTCATTATTGCTTTTTCTACCATATAAAGCTGTTTTTATTGTTCAAAGGCCTATACAAAATTTGTTGACGCGCACTTAACGATTACTAAGACTTGTTGACGCTTGTTGACGCTTGTTGACGCGCTTTAGTAGGACCGCCACTCACCGATCCCGTCTCCTTCCGCAGCGATTTGGCCGTCTTCGTCAGCTTGTTCTCCCTCAGAAAGCCGTAGATATACGAAAACAGCTTACTCGGAACGGTGGAACTCATCTTGGAGTTGTGTTTAAGATTTCAATCTACCGAAATCTCTTCTTAGGGGGTTGCCCGAGGCTGACGATTGCAACGAACTACACGTGGTACCGCACATGTGGAAAATTAAACCCAACGTGTTGTTGATTGTTGCTCTTGAATGTCGGACACTTCGCCCCATTTCCACGTCGCCCCATGTCACTTCGCCCCTAACCACTTCGCCCCATCCCCACTTCGCCCCATCCCCACATCGCCCCATCCCCACTTCGCCCCATCCCCACTTCGCCCCATCCCCACTTCGCCCCAGCCGTTACATGTAAAAAAAAAATCTCATCTATTTTTTTGGCTTAAAAAAAAACTATTTCAATAGATTCACTAATTGCTAACCAACGGAAAGAATTAACCCATCACCAAATGAACAATTCATAACCAACCTCTCAAGCTAGGCTCTCCCCTACCGAGAAAAAAGCTTGAAGTAAAAGATCCAACTTTGTTCCCAACCCGGCTATACCAACCCGTCTCCCACTTATCTGAGAAAGACAATACCTTTGACATCCTAATTTCACTCTTGGAGGAACCAATCTCATCAATGAAGTTGTAAGTCTCACATATCAGACAAATTTTGACGGAACATTTTCCTCAAGGCAGTGAGTTCCTTTGAACTCACTGACCCATACCTACGGGATTCTTTTGAATCCAGCGGCTGATGATTTTATTTAAGCCATCATTTCTCTCATCTGTGTCTCGAGCACCTCATCAGAGAGTTTGTATTTTTCCTGAGTTTCTAGAATTGGGAGCATTCATTATCTGGGGTCTTTGGCAGTTTATTTGGTCTGCACCCCTAGCCTTCCCTTTTTTATACTACATGGGGCGAAGTGGGGATGGGGCGAAGTGGGGATGGGGCGAAGCGGGGATGGGGCGAAGTGGGGATGGGGCGAAGCGGAGATGGGGCGATGTGGGGATGGGGCGAAGTGGGGATGGGGCGAAGTGGTTAGGGGCGAAGTGACATGGGGCGACGTGGAAATGGGGCGAAGCGTCCGACACCCGTTGCTCTTGATTAGCGCCCAATCGAGAACCTCAATGTCGATTCTAATATAATAAAAAAATCGATTACTTTGTACGATGTGAACATTCATAAATTCAAATGAAATACCAATTTATTCCCCAAACAGGTAAGTCGATGTAAAATGAAATTAATTTCACTGCATGTAAAGATTAAATTCTGGACAATTACTGTTTCAAATATAATATTTAGCTTGAAATCTACTTTATCGATTCCATCGATATGTAATCGAAACTCGCTTCTACAAGCGAGTCGTTATTTCGCAATCACAGGAGCCAGAATGCGCGATTTCTTTAGCCCAATTGATTGAAGCGCCCTCTCGTGACCATTTGTGTTAAGCAACCACACTTGTGAAAAGGAGAAAACTTGAAAAGGAGAAATTTTGGTAAGTTGAATATCGACCAAAAAAATCATAATTCTAGGCCTGCCACTAGGAAAACAATTTTCTGATTATTTCGGAAACGAAGATGAAGACTTTCAATGCTACTTTTCTAAAGCTTTGACTAGCATGTAGATTAAAATATAGCAGGAAATGTGTAGCATTTACTTTGGTGATTGGGAATGATTTTTTTTGCATTATGTCACTCGGATCGGAGAAATGGGAATTCCCCGCGCGTCCTTGCGCAATTGTGTGTCCTTTGAGCAAATTTGTAAATTAGTAGGAAAAAATAATATGAAAGAAACTCATCTTGACAAAGGAATCGTGCTCATTGATCAGGAAGGTATTTGCACACACCAGCAGTTTTGGGTCAAAAATGTAAAGGATACACAAAACGAAGTGGCTATCGTTACGGCACTCGTTGTTTAGCGCCCTCTACGATATTTTTTTGATACGCACGCAGGTATATAATTATTTGTTTCCCCACGTTTTGTCGAGCAGTGCGCCAGCTCAGCCGATAGAGGGTAGGATTTTGCACCGCGAGGTTGCGGGTTCGAATCTCAGTTTTGCACTCAATTTTTTTTCCTTTTCTAACCTGAGGCTTTGGAGGATTTTTTTTAAAAGGGAAATAAAGTCCGAATTTCATAAAGTTCAAATTCACTTTTTTCCTTCTAATTTTATATTTTCTTGTCATGTTTTTTTATAAAAGTTGCCAGGTTGCAGTCTACCGTAACGATAGAAAATGGGAAATGCGTTACGGCTGCCGTAACAATAGCCACTGCCTACACAAAAAGAGGTCATTTTGCTTCATCTAAATTTATTTTAAATTTAAGGGACTTAAAAATGATCTTGTCATGACTTGCATATTTATGTGTATGGAGCTATCTAAAAAAAAAATACTGAACGAAGTGCAAATGTAGTATTATTATTTAAGTTATTCAGAAAAGGGATATTTCTGCAGAGCAGCAGTAAACAGTAATGAAATATTCTCAGCTTTATACATATAGTCGTGTTCCCTAAGGTGGCGCACTTCGAAGCTTATATACCCAACTTTCCTCGTGTAGTGTTGCCAAACCTCTTTGTTGACAAACCTCAAATTCATGCAGTAACATACTGGTACCTTTACCTTATTAATGCGTGCTATTTAACCTCTGTGACCAATTTTGGTTTCATAAAATTTAATCCAAAATTCAAAAACGGTGGCGTCCGGAAATTGGGCACAAATTCGCGGAGTGTTCCCTAACGTGGCGCACTGAAATAAATCTCGGAAAATTCCAAATTAACATTTAAGAATTTCTGTTAACTTGATAAATTCTGATGAATCATTATTATCTCTACTTACATACCCAGCCAGATGTTTGTCAGAAAATTATTTTCTTATTTTTTCGGGGCATTTTCAAAGTGTTCACTTTGCACTTGAAAATAAAATCGGAAAATCACGCCAAAATAAGTTTATCTTCTAACTTTGTAACGGGTAAATAAACTCGCGATTTATGAACGGGAGTGTTTGGAACTTGATGAAATGTCACTTTCTGTGAAATTTCAGTTAAAACTTTTGCTCTAGCTAGGCGCTACAGGCGAAAAATCAAAGTGCGCCACGTTTGGGGCCGCGCCACGTTAGGGTACATCAACAATATACGTAATTCAATTTTTAGGCCCAACGTTACGTAAATTAACTGATATAAAAGTTACAAAATCACACATTTCTACTTGCTTCTTAAATATTAGTGAGTAAATGTTGTTTGCTATAATGCCAAGTTTGCAGTAGGTATTGCTACATCGGTTTGTTACAAAAAATCCAACTTTTTGTAGTTTTACGAGAGATGCCATTCATAGCTTGCCTCGATCCTTACCACTCCATTTACTAAGATGTTGTTATCCTGACACCATCTTCTTGCAGAAGTATTCCAAAAAAGAGAAGAAGAAATTTTCAACCACCAGCATCAAGAATTCGCCTTCTGCAATGCCCGGTGGGGAGGAATCAGTGCGTTCGGTCAAACTGAGCCTGTCAAAGAGTGAAATCTTCGGCCTGGTCTTTCGTCTGGCCGTGCTCGGCGTCTCGACTTACTATGGAGTCAGGTGGATTGTCAAGGCCATGGATCCGACACGGAAACAAAAACAGGAAGCTCAAGAACAGGTAACAAAAAAAGGACTTTGGTTATTTGTTTTTCTTCAGATCACTGATCACAAGTCACTACAAGTCTTCACAAGTCAATTACAAGTCAGCGAGTTCTTCCTTATTCCTTACAAATGCAGACTTCATGGCTGAAGATAAACGCACTGCCAGAAACACTGAGGCAAACTCCTTCTCTTAGCAATAAGTGTTAACTGGAATCTTTTACATGCATTACACAGCACGCGGGACCTACGGCTTTACGTCCCATCCGAAGGACGAAGCAATAATGGTTGAGTGTCTTGCTTTAGGACACAAGTGTCAAGACCAGGACTCGAACCCACGCTCTGCTGATCAGAAACACCAGAGCTTGAGTCCGGTGTTCTTAACCGCTTGGCTATGACACTCGACGTTTCAAGTCAAGTCACAAGCTTTTTATGAATGAAGTGTAACAAAGGTATCCTTTTGTCATTTTTCATCTCCTTCTACTTGTGGCCTAATTGACTTGTGATTGACAAAACCGGCAATTTTATCCATAAATTTGGGTCTCAAAGGTTTTGTGGTATTCAGAACGGATGACAGATAAACATGCAGGAAGCAAGGCTGGAAATATCAGATATTTCAAGCCTCGCTCCCTGCGTGTTTATCAGCCAGCGACCCAATCGCAACAAGCGAGGCCAGAATATGAGTGTGCTACCCGAGGGTGATGGCTTCAACCCACCTGGCTTGAGGTCGAGTGAAAATAAATCCCGCGCCTCGTTACGTTCTTGTCAAAATAATCCAAGCTTGAACTGGTTGAACACTGCTTTCAACGTGGCTTGAGACTGGGTTGTTCGTGATGGACTTGTGATCTGTAGGACTCGACTTCAACTCTTGAATCTCCTCTTTCCTCAACAGGCCCAGAAGTTGATGAAGAGCATCGGAGTCAAAGGCGTCAAGCTCAGCGACTACGAGATGAGCATAGCGGCCCAGCTGGTCGACCCCCTGACCCTGTCCATCACCTGGGCCGATATCGGGGGCCTGGAGACCATCTGTCGGGAGATCAAAGAGACCATCCTACTACCCATGAAGAAGAAACATCTCTTCAAGGACTCGGTCCTCCTGCAACCTCCAAAAGGTTGGTAATGTGTCTGTGGCGTCTTGAGTGGAGACTACCTGTGTTGTTTTGACCTTGAATTGGTCATGGTGTAGTGGCGTTAATGCACAAATACTCAAGTTACCTTTAGATGTAAAAGATAATTTGTATGTGTTTTAGCAGTGTGGAAGCTTGACCAAACAACTACAGTGTCAGTCTTTGGCCATTGTGTCCTTGGGCAAGCCACTTTACCCCCACTTGCCTCTCTCCACCCAGAGGTATAAATGGGTACCGGCATGAAGCCCGGTTCAAACTTCACAAGAAAGCGAAAGCGAACTGAAATTTGTGAGGTCAACAATACTTTCAAGGCCCGTCCACCATTGTTGACGACATGAATTTCACTTTGCACTTGCTTTTGTGTGAAGTATGAACAGTCTTGAGCTGGGGAGTAACCTGCAATGGACTTCCAGGGGGAATAGAAATATTCTCGGTCATTTCATACCAAGGAAACCGGAGATAAACGCCGGCCCGATGGGCCATATTGGCTCGTGATAGATTTTACTATTTTACTAGATGAGAAACATTTTTTTCCAGGACAGTAGAATGCTGCTTTAATGTTTACCACAACACCAAACATGTGGCCATAACTAATATCTCTTTGGCCCGGACATATGTGACCTGTTCTGTCAAAATCCGACTTTTCTGGGCAAAAGGTCAAAATGAGATTTTTGCATATTGTTAAGACATGTTCTTTTTCTTTTTAATAGGTGGTTTAGTTTTTGAAATCGGTCATTCCTGGGCAGAGTTATGCTATTTTGAAGTTCATTGTGTCGAAAAGTAGAAAACGGAGAAAATGGCCACGAACGTCACAAAACAGTAATTTCTTTAACTGATATACCTTAACAAATCATCAAAAATACTATATTTAAAGTTCAAATTAGGGTTTCAAACTTTAATATTATATTTTAGACATGTTCAGGATTACAAATATGCAAAAATTTGAAAATCGAAAAAAATCACTCCCTCAGCGTTTTTTGGCCCTATCTTAATTTCAACCTCTGCCCAGAAGCGTCTGCTTTTGACAGAACTAGTCACATATTATGTATACTGAGCATTGACAGCTGAAAATAACTGTAGCAAACCCCTCTTCGATGAACGAATCTGGGCAAGTGATCATTTACGCTCATGAGGTTCCCTTCAAAGGAAAAACCATGTGCATTGCCCCCTCCCTCCACCTCCCCCCCCCCCCCCCCCCCCCCCCCCCCCCCCCATAGAGTTATTTTATCTGAATCAAATGCTGCTTTCATTGTCAGGTGTGTTGCTGTATGGCCCGCCTGGCTGCGGTAAGACCATGTTAGCCAAAGTCATAGCCAAGGATGCCGGCTGTCGCTTCGTCAACCTCCAGGCCTCAAATCTCACCGACAAGTGGTACGGTGAATCCCAGAAACTGGCATCGGCCGTCTTCTCACTGGTAAAGAAAACATTCACCTTTGTACTCATCGACTGTTTGTATGGGCTGTACTGTGGAAAATATCAACCGAAGAACATTAAACCCTGCCTCTCTCAGTCACAAAATGGAGTGAGATACCCTATCTGTCAAAATCTATCAAGTGACAGTTTTTGACAGTTTTTGTATATTGGGCTCATATTGGGACAATTGACAGGCTGTGGCAATGTTGTCAACATGAAGGTACCGTCCCTTGACTGACATTGATAGATATGGCGGGTTTAAATACTGCCGAGTGTCTGGCAATGATTGATTTAATTCAGAAACAATGAAGGCACAAAAGGTTCACTCATGCATCAAATCGGTACATCAAGACGTCTTTTAGTGGCTTGGCTCTATCCTCCTGCATTCTGCAAGATAGTTGATTGTAACATTATTTCAATATTAGGTTTTGCCCTAGTGATTACCCGAGTGATTGTGAGAAAAAAAATCACTCGGGTGGGACTCGAACCCACCACCTCCTGCTTACTAGTGCAGACTTTCTTACCACTCGACCACCGAGCTTGCCGGGGTCAGCTGGATGGCTCGAATCTGATATAGCAGCGGGTACCGCAACCAAAACTATTCATATAAGATGGAATTTTAAAAATATGTCGGTAAGGGCAAAACCCAATATTGAATTAACATCACCCCAACTAAAATTGCATCTTATGAATAACTTACTTTACACATGTAAATATGGGCACTGTGGTCCATGGGTCCGAGTGCGTTAGAATGAGGCTGATGGGACGATGGGGAGGAGGAATTGTCACTACACATACACTTAGCCACTAATCCACTCTCAAAAGCTTTGCGGGTGTTGGCAGTGGCGTAGCCACAGGGGGGGGGGGGGGGGGGGGGGGGGCGTGGGGGCAACAGCCCCCCATGAAACCTTGTCGCCCCCCCCAGTCGCCCCCCCCCCCTCCCCCCCACTGAGATTTTGAGTTTCTAAAAAAATTATCATTGATCTACATGACGCCATGGGCGTCAATCCGGGGGGGGGGGGGGGGGGGGGACAGGGGACATGTCCCCCCCCAACACACTATCAAATGTCCCCCCCCCAGATTTTTGAACTCGTGTCTCATTTACAGGGCCCTATTATGTACTACAATGTATCTTTTGCTTAGAAAATATTGGTTAAAGTGGTCAGAAATTGCCTCAGATAGCACCACAGAGCATTTAGAATCCAAAATGTTCAACCTCGAAAACGATGTTCAAATAATTATCTTTTGCTAAGAAAATATTAGTTAAAGCATGGAGGAAAGTGGTAAGAAATTGCTTCAGATCACACCACAGAACATCTAGAATCAAATTTTTCGGGCCCCGAACCCCACGCCATGAGGGCTTTGCGCTTCGCATCAGTTCTGATCAAGGTATGTCCGCCCCCCCCCCCCCCCACTTTTGAGAAGCGATTGACGCCCCTGCATAACGCCCCCCCATGAAATGTTCCAGCGCCCCCCCACTGAAAAATTCCTGGCTACGCCACTGGTGTTGGCTATCCCCGTGTCCAAAGTCAAGTCTTTGTCTAGTCTTAGTTTGGTTCCTCCTCATTGTACCATATTCGTTTCTCACTTCCCAGGCAGTCAAGTTGCAACCAGCCATCATCTTCATCGACGAGATCGATTCCTTCTTGAGGTCACGGGCCAGCCACGATCACGAGGCAACGGCCATGATGAAGGCACAGTTCATGACAATGTGGGACGGGCTGATCACTGACAACAACTGTGACGTAAGGTTGATTTTCGTAGCATGGACTGTTTTGCATGGTCCCGTTTATTTGTTCTCAAGCTTTATTTTGTAACCATTGGAACGCTGTGGTCCAGTGGTTCCGGTGTTTGCCTTGCATGCCGTGGTACGTGGGTTTGAACCCTGGCGGGGAACATGGTGCTTGTGTTCTTGGGCAAGACATTTTACTACAATTGCCTGGTTCTACCCAGGAGTATAAATGAGTACCTGTGAAGAATGTGCTGATTTCGAGCTGCTGCAGAAACTGGTGTCATGGGCTGATTAACAGGCTTAATAATTGTGAAGTGTTTTTGAGGCCATTGGTATAGCGTCATATAAGCACCGCATTATTATTTTGGAGGTACATTTTTTGTACATTTTGCTCAGAAGTATTTGGCATTTTTCACAGATTAAGCCTGCTGGTTCCTGAAATAGTCTGAGTGAATTCATAGTTATTCCAAATGGAAATTGGAATTGAGCGTGTTGCTATTTGTTAGATATCTTATAAAGAATGTTCATACTTCCTCTTTTCAAAAATCAATTTCAGCATCAAATGATGATGTCATCATGACATCTGTTCAATTTTGAGCTATGAAATTTTATTGTCGATATATGTACTATATTTCAGCCCAATCAGTCATGTAGTTTCTACATATATGACTATTAAAAAAATACATTTGGCATCACATGACTCATGATATTATTATAACAATTTTTTGATATCCTGGCTCGTATTTTTTCACCAGGTGATCCTAATGGGCGCCACAAACAGACCCCGAGATGTCGACCCGGCAATTCTAAGAAGAATGCCTACAACATTTCACATTGGCCTGCCTGTAAGTATGCACAGTCTGAGAGTCATTTTTTGCATTATTTGATTGTCTTGTCTTGTCTGGTACCGCACAAATTGCTTCAGGTGGCTATCAACGTACAGTTGTCCATCATACATGTACATCACCATCATACATGTACATCGTTTTTTACCCCTCAGCCGAGAGGCTCGAGGGGTATTGTCATCGCCTAGGGCGTCCGTCCGTCCGGATGTATGTATGTCTGTCCGTCCGTCCGTCCGTCCGTCCGTCCGGGTAGCTTGGTTTCCGGATGATAACTTGAGTTAGAAATGTTGTTTGGGGTTGTAACTTCGGTAGGGGGTTGCCCTTGGGAGTAGGCAAGTTGGGATTGGTTTTGAGGTCAAAAGGTCAAAGGTCAAGGTCACCGTGGTGAGTTAAAGGTAAATGGTTTCCGGATGATAACTTGAGCTAGAAATGATATTTTGGTGGCTAACTTTGGTAGAGGGTTGCCCTTGGGAGTAGGCAAGTTGGGATTGGTTTGGGGGTCAAAAGGTCAAAGGTCAAGGTCACCATGGTGAGTTAAAGGTAAATGGTTTCCGGATGATAACTTGAGTTAGAAATGGTATTTTGGTGTCTAACTTTGGTAGAGGGTTGCCCTTGGGGGTGGGCAAGTTGGGATTGGTTTGGGGGTCAAAAGGTCAAAGGTCAAGGTCACCATGGTGAGTTAAAGGAAAATGGTTTCCGGATGATAACTTAGGTTAGAAATGAGATTTTGATGTCTAACTTTGGTTGGGGGTTGCCCTTGAGAGTAGGCAGGTTGGGAATGGTTTTGGGGTCAAAAGGTCAAAGGTCAAGGTTACCGTGGTGAGTTAAAGGTACATAGTTTCGGGATGATAACTTGAGTTAGAAATGATATTTTGGTGTCTAACTTTGGTAGAGGGTTACCCTTGGGAGTAGGCAAGTTGGGATTGGTTTTGGGGTCAAAAGGTCAAAGGTGAAGGTCAGCATGGTGAGTTAAAGGTAAATGGTTTCCGGATGATAACTTGAGTTAGAAATGAGATTTTGATGTCTAACTTTCGTAGGGGGTTGCCCTTGGGAGTAGGCAAGTTGGGATTGGTTTGGGGGTCAAAAGGTCAAAGGTCAAGGTCACCGTGGTGAGTTAAATTTAAATGGTTTCCGGATGATAACTTGAGTTAGAAATGAGATTTTGGTGTCTAACTTTGGTAGTGGGTTGCCCTTGGGTACAGGCAAGCTGGGATTGGTTTTGGGGTCAAAAGGTCAAAGGTCAAGGTCACCTTGGTGAGTTAAATGTATATGGTTCCGAATGATAACTTGAGTTAGAAATGAAATGTTGGTGTCTAACTTCGGTAGGGGGTTTTCCATCGGTACAGGCATGTTGGGACTGGTTCTGGGGTCAAAGGTCAAAGGTCAAGGTCACCATGTTGAGTTAAAGGTTAATGGTTTCCGGATGATAACTTGACTCTGGCTGAGGGGTTTCAACAGCAACGCTGTTATTTTTTTTTTTTTCTTTCAGGGACAGAGGGAACGAGAGAGCATATTGAAAATAATTCTACGCACCGAAAAGGTTGGTAAACTACATTTACCATATTTACTTCCATTCGTTGTTAGGCTTCCATGTCATTGGAGTGCCATGGCCTCATGATCTGGAGCATTGAATTTGTGGTCTGTGGGTAATTCTGCAGGTTGTGGGTTCCAGTTCAGTTCAGCCTGGGGTTGTTGTGCGTGTGCCCTTGGGCAAGGTACTTTGTCACGCATTGCTTCTCCCTACCCAGGAGTAAATGGGTACCTGTGAGAGCAGAGATGGTTGTTGTGATTGATTGTAGCTGCTTTGCGCCGAAATGGCAGCATCCAGCTGTATACTCCCGGAATGTTTCAGTGTCCCAATGAGCAGAGTAATAATGATGTAGCGCCTTGAACACCAATAATGGTGGATACGTGCGCTTTATAAATTCCCATTATTAGTATTATTATTATTTTTTAATGCAGTGTTCTATTGCATTCCACACAATCGCTATGGGAACACAGACCACTGCAACCATATAGTGTTGTAACAATTTATGGTACATTACCGCACGATATCTCATTTTTTGGTTTTCCGATGTGTAGCTTGCAGACACCGTCAATCTATTGGAGATTGCCGATCAGACAGACGGATTCTCCGGTAGCGACCTGCGGGAGATGTGCCGCAATGCTTGCATCTACACAATGAGGGACTACATGAAGAACCAATCAGGACTTAACAGGTCAGGGGTCAAGTTTATGCACAGAATCTCCCCACCCCCTATTGCCCCGCCCCCTCAGTACTACATCTTTAGAAATCAGGTGTCATTGCTGAAACTATGGCTCCAGCTCTGGCTCCTGTAGCACAGAGGCCGACTCTCATAGACCCCATTGGTAGAAAGTGTACCTTTGCAGATTAATGTGCTCGGCTCATATAAGCTGAGAACCAGTTAAAGGGATAGTAGTATACAACACTACTGCTATCACAAGGTACCAGTTTTACTTTTGGATCCAGGAAAAATAAATTGTCGTAAAGTATCTTGCTCAAGAACACAAAGTTGACTTTGGCTGGCTAAGATTAACCGCAACCGAGTGTGACCTGGAAAGATTTTGGTTGCAAGCACCGTGGCCACTCATCAAATTTGAAAATCCCAAGATGACCGCAGAAAAATTCCCAAGATTTCCCAAAATATCAGCATTATGTATCAAAATAGCAGCACAGACCCTATTTTTATGCAAATGGGGCCCACGAAGTGCAATTAACATGTTGCTCATGTGCAATCCGTACTTAAGTGTGCTCTCAATAGTACGAAAAAAAATCCCAAGGCTCAGCGAAACATTCCCAAGCCCTGGCCTAAATTCCCAAGATCTTGGGAAAAATCCCAAGGAGTGAACACGCTGATTGCAAGGCCCTGTTTCCTGGAGCTGCTTAACCCAGAAATTCGCTAAGCACAGAACATATTTGCTAAGCAAAAACAGGTTACCAGCTAAACCAACATTGCCATGTACACCTCTGTTACTGGTTCTCCGCTGGCTGTTGCTTAGCACAAACATTTGATTAGCAAACAACATTTTCCGCTTAGCTACTTCACGAAATAGGGCACGGGTCACACAGTGCTGGCTGAATTTTTAATTTTTTTTCTTGCTTATTACCCGTAGCGATGAAGGTGAAGCTCAATCAGCAGAGGAGTCGCTGCGTCCTGTCTCCATGGAAGACCTCAGCACCTCGCTGCTCAAGACCATCGAGACCAAACAGCTGCAGCCTGGAGGTGCCAGCAAAGCTGCACTCCCTCTGGACTAGAGTAGGCGGTACCATACCCAGTGGATAGTGGGCATTTCAGGTCAGATGAAATGGGATGTAGGGCAGATTTAGAGTCAAGTACATGCAATTTATGACAAATGATACCGAAAACAGTTGTACTTTTGTATACGTGCAAGCTGTGGTTCACACTCGCCTTCACGTATACGAAAGTGCAACTGTTTTTTCGGTACCATTTGTCATAAAGTGCATAGTTTTGTACACATTATCACTGTTTTGGGCCAAACAAAGAGTATATGGCTAGATTGCTACGGAATTTCTGTACTGATCAGTCGCAATTTGAGCAAGATGTGCCCAGTAGTTTTTGAGTTGGACAAAAAAGTATTAAGGGGGACTTTCTTTTTTGGTTGAGTGTATAGTTCAAACTCGCTGCCTTTATACATTTTGTATGATAAATGTTGTTTCGTTTTGTTTCCCCTCCAATCTACAGGAATGGAGATCTTGCCAACTGACAAATATGTCTGTTCAGTCGCTGACAGTACTTGCGCTCATATAACTGACAAATGTTGTACTGGTCTTGAGTCTTGTCATGAAAATGTAAAGGAATTCTGTTCTTGGGAAGATGTAAAATGTACAAAAGTGTTACAACATGAGCAATATTTGTGATATATGTATATGCAACTCCTGTCCATCTGTGAGTTGAGAAGATGTGGATACTGTTTTTAATGCTGCGAAGCATAAATGTATACTTTGGAGAATGTATCCAAACAGTTTGTGGCATAGGTAGCTACAGTATTTTGCAAAACCAAAAGCAAAATTCTTCAGAAAGCAAATTAGGTAACAGCAGTAATTTTCGGAAAGTCAGTAGTAGTTCAAAACCCCTGCACATGCAGAAAATTCCCAAGTATGGTTGATATTATTCTTGTTTAATGTCATTTTATATGCTGTTATTGAGCAGCCAAAAATGTTCAACCATATGCGTGTAAATAACAGTTCATGTTTCTTTATTTTTTGTTTTTTAATGTACAGGGTGTCTCTCAAAAAAAAACACTCAAAGTGCCTTTTTTTTACAGCTTTATGAAGCATAAGTCAAATTTGTTTTGATTTGTCCGTAAACCTAAATTTGTTAGCTTGAATGTACTGAAAACATAACTTCAATCGGTTCAAGACTTGTTGGGTTGTGGCTAATTAAACAAAGACATTCCTTTTTCATTTTGTCCACGGCATCCGATGTTTGACTGCTGCAATGAGAACAAGGCCCAAACTTGCATCCATGAAACAACCAAGTAGAGGGCAGAACAGAACAGTAAACATCTAAGAAATAAAACAAAATAGTCTTTTTCGGGACTACCATTTCTTCCAAAAAGAGGAAATGACCATTGTTACCAAAAAATTAACATAAAAAAGAACCAAATAAAGAAAAAAAAGATTAGAAAAATTAAAGAGAGTAAAACTACCCTCACCCAAATTCATTACATTCCTAATAAATGACAATTAAGACGGTGGACAAAATTAAGAAGCGACATTTTTTGAATAAGCCGTAACTCAATAAATGCTGTTCCGATTGGAAAGATGTTTTTGGTTGCTGAAAAGCTGACGAACTATACTTTTCAAATAACGGTATCAATATTTCTGATATATATTTTAAAAGCTGTGACAAAGACGGTGCTTTTAGGGTGGTTTTTTTTGGGGGGGGGGGGGGAGACACACCCTGTACAAAACAGTGATGTGTGCAATGGTCATCGTACGTGCTACCAACTTACATATAGGAGACAATTTGTTTGAGACATTGTTTCCAGATTTTTTTAAGACTAACGTAATGCGTGTAAATTGCAAGGGTGTAAAATTATATTTGCCACCTTCGTACTTGACAGACGATAGTAATAAATGAAAGCATTCTTTGCCAGCAAATTTATCAGAATTGCCTTTCAGTTTTTTGCAGCATTTAATAAAAAATGGGCTCATATGCCCAGCCCACGACAGATTTCATTTGCAGTACCTAGGATGATGTACGCTTACAAAGTAACGTGAAATATGTCAAGAACTTCACTTTTTTTCCCTCAAAATTTATCATCTCCACATTCACATTTCAACCCTTGTTACAAGTTTAACCAACGCTGTTTAACATTTAACAACCGTAACTCTCCTCAAATCCTCCAAAAAAAATCCTCCAGTTGGGTTTTCAGGGATTTTGGAGGATTGAGGCTGAATGGCAAAAATAAAGAGTTGGTTGATTTTGGAGGATGCATTGTGTCGAGTTTGTTTGTAGGCTGTACCCTTATGTTCAGTCATGCATAATTGAGCCCTGCATTATGCTCGGTATCATCCGCGCTGCTTCTGAATATCATCTGCACTGCCTCGAGCCATTAACAGCGATTGTTGGAGGATTTTGAAGGATTGAGGCAGTGGTCACCCCTCCACTGAATAAATTCAAGATAACAGATGATTTTGGAGGATTGAGGCTGAATCCAATTTTTACAAGGTGTAATTGGAGGATTTTTGCAGGATTGAGGATGGTTCCTTTTGAAAGGGCCTAGAGAGTTAGGGTTCACCAAAAATTATCACCAATGTCGCACTCCTCACCACATCATCAGAGGCATCACCTATACCGGCATCATTCTCACCACAATTCTTTTTCAAAAGTGTATTTTCCTCAACCCCCCCCCCCCCCTTATACATGTACACCTACTACTACATCATTAATATAAATATCATCTTAAATTTCTTATCACCACCACTTCCCTCGACATCCAGGCCTTTAGTTCAAAAAGGGGAGAAAAACCTACTAAGCGCGCCAGAATTATGCATCGAGGGTAATGGGTTCATTTTCGGTGTCGTCCCCCCAGCTTTTAAAAATTTTCTTCCGGCTGGCCGCGTCACCAGGCGAGGCGCTAGATCTCACACGCCGACCGCGACAAATTTCATCGGCGAGGCGATGACCAAATGGCTTTGTCGCGGCTGAGTTATTAAGACCGGACTCAGAGAAGTGGACCAGGGGACAGTGGCCTAGTTTTCAGAGTCCGGGAGGAAGTTCAAATTTTGCTTGACTTTCTCACCATCACTACCCCTGCCCCCTCGCTAAAAAAAAAACACACATTGATTCGTAAGTAACATGGAAACAATTCGTTTCTACAAAGTTTGTGTTCCAAGTTAGCAAGAGCTTATGAACTTTCTGTCTTAAAGAACGTCTTCTGAGTAGCTGATTTTGAATTTAACATTTTATTGAAAACGTAATTTTTGGCCCGTCCATGTCAACTTGGACATTTTAGCACATATCAGTTATCTGTTTGCAATGCTGTGGTTCCATTTTGAATAGCCTGTTTTGATAGGAGTTGACAAGTTAAATGTTAAAAGGTAAAAACTGGGTTGTTAAAAATGCACATTTTTAATAATATTGGCATTGGGAAAAACGTTGCAACCGGACGCCAGTTTTTTCTTCATATGTCATCTCAATGGAGGTCATTAAATGCAAAAATGATGATAAGACATGAATCTGGGACTGAGAGACATTTCCAATTTTGTCAGGAAATAATTAGAAAATGTTCTTGACTCTCCCATAGACTTTGTACACAATCGCGGAAGTGGTGTCAGGTTGCAACATTTTTTCCTCGGCATTTTAGTCAGTTCGTTGAAAGCTGTCACTCTATCTCCAATTTTCAAAAATTAAATGGTCAGTTTTGTATTTTACGCTATTTTGGTTTTTCCCCCGTTGACCCACATATGTATATTTCGGTCTGTTGGCCATTTTTCTATGCTCGGTCGGTTGTGTAGTTGGTTGAAGGCTGTGTTGCCGGCCGGGCGCATTGGTTGGCCGGTCGGGTACGGTCGGTTGACCGGTCGGTACGGTCGGCTGGGCGGTAAGGTCGGATGACCGGCCGGACGACAGGCAAGTCGGTAAATGAATAACACATTTTGAAAACAAAATTAATGTAATGCAAAATGTGAATGATGTACCGTCTGTGCTATTTTGGGGGAGTGTGGCCTAGTGGTTAGGGTTTGTGACTAATGATCAGAGGGTCGTGGTTCGAATCCAGCTGCTGGCCATATGTTGTGTCCTTGGGCAAGCAACTTCATCCCCACTTGTCTCTCTCCACCCAGGACCATAAATGGGTACCGACATTAGCTGGGGAGTAACGTACCTGCGATGGACTAGCATCCCATCCAGGGGGAATAGAAATATTCTCAGTCGTTTCATGCTACTGAAACTGGAGATAAACGCCGGCCTGATGGGCCACATTGGCTCGTGACAGACTTTACTTTTTTTACTGTGCTATTTTTGAGTATCACCCCGAAACAAAAATACTTTCTTTTTTTTAAATGCTATTTTCTAGCAGTGAAAGGGTTATTCACTTTTGCATAAGACATCGAACGAAAATAAAGTTATGGAATTATAATTTGGGACCCGAAAATAACTCAATTATCGCAAGCCTGGTTCCCTGCCTCTAATATTACTAGAATCGAAAACGTAGTTGGTAGAACACTGCTATGCTTGCGTGTTCCAGAGTCGCTGGTTCCAAATCCAAAGCAATATTGCACAATTAGCATAGTATTAATATTCATGAGGCTGCACGTGCGCCATCTCTGAGGGCTAATTAAAAGGTTGGACTCGATTACGTCACTGAGTTTTTACCGGTTCACCTATTACCGACTTGACGATCAAAAATATGACCGGCCAGCCGGAGGCTAAGTTATTGTACGAGAAAGATTAGCCAAGGCGGCGGTCCTTTGATGACAACACGTTTAAGAGAAGTAAAAAAAATGAGAAAAGGCACTGAAGAACATCGCCCGGGGCCTTCAGTGTACCATGGACAGCGGGAGTTTTCCCCTTGCCTTTTTGTGTACGTGTCTCTTCGATTTCAATTTCTTGATTCAATTAATAATGTGCGGGGATTATTTATTCTGTGGTCAAAATGAACAACACTCGTGTAGTTATGAACTTGAAAGTTGAAGATGCTTAGATGAAATTATGGGGAGAGGAAAACAAAGCTTCTCCCCAAAGCAAAAACAAAAAAAAATATTTATGAACAGAAAAAAAATCACTTCACTCCACAAATTCATATTTATTTCGTAAGTTCAGAACATGTGATGTTTTTCCGTATAAAGTTGTATATGTAGTTTCCCAAAAGGATGCCAACCCTGGTGCCATGTGAAATACGGATTACTAAGAAACATGGTCATTATCTTAAATGGCTCTTAACTCTCACACGTGACTTATCATCACTGTCCAATGATCTTCACTTAGGGATGCGCAATACAACTAATGAGTCCGTATATCTTCAAGTCAAAATTTCACACTGCACAGTTGCTTCTGTACGGAGAGGAACGGAGAGGCCCAGTTTTCTGAAAGGGTGAAAAAAGTTTCAACATCTGGCAAAGTCCAGGGACTTCTTCTTCTGCAAAATACCTCACAAGAACCTCCCATGTGCAATAGCGTATGTGAAACAGACGGCGTTCATTATAATTCGTGGTTTGTGTACAATGTTCTTATTCTTCCATGATTTTAACTGTTTTAGAAATTGCTCAGTGTTGCCATCTACCCTTTATGCACATGTCCAGATTCATCTGAAGCATTCTCAAATTCAAGATTTTATCTTCGCAATTATTCCTCACCAACCGCTCTCATCGTTCATCAGAAATAAAGATGAGTGATTAGCTGAAATGATTCCAATCAGCACATTGTATAATCATGCACAGCTAATTAGGCATGCCCGACCGCTAGGTCGGGTTCATGGACAATTAACGTGCAACTCGATTCAAACAACAGCCCCCCCCCCCCCCCCAGTCGTAATACAATCATCGCACAGATTAGTCCCCAATTATATTTCATTCAGCAAACGTCGTTTGTCAATCACGGGGCCTTTAGTGAGGAGAGACACAAGCGCCCGAAACATTCCACGTGACACGTCCCTCTCTTTGTGGTGAGCGGTGCCGACACTACCATATTTGGGCACACAAAGGCCGCGCCGCCCGGCAACATCAAAGGCCGCCGGTCGCCACCACCTCCGCAAGAGAGAACCAACCGGCCCCGCCCACTTGAAAATGGAATTTCCCCCAAAGGGGGGCCAAAAGGGTCAGAGCTAATCAGAAAAGGTGGCCAGAGTCTTTTGTTGTTCAGAAGTGTGAAGTTTGCCGCTTTTCCCGTGTTTTTCTTTTGTCATTCATACCTGCAAATGCAATGGGACGTGATATTGTTATTGCACGTACGTTGACATAATTACGGTACCAATGGAACGATTGCTCGGCGTACATGTACCGAATTATGTGCCCCTTGCGTCGGTGGGTTAACGAGGCTTCGGCGCACCGTCGATTGACCCGAGCAGTGTGGCTATTAAGTTATTTGTTTCTTACCATGTGCTGAACACAAGCTACCTCGCCTGGCTAAAATCAATGCCCGCTATGTACTTGTTTACACAAGAAGAAAATATCGATAATTCCCGGACAAATTTATTTTTCCTGGAGCACGAGATGATTTCAGCATGATTGCGTGATATGTTCGGGCCCGGTGTTTCCAAGGCCAGGATGGTTGGTAGCTCCATGAGCTACGCCGTGATGGGGAAGTTTTTTGTCCTTTTTAAAAGTCATTAATTATTTTTCTGGAGTTTTCATCACGGCAGTCGCCAAAATCATCTGTCGTTTATGGACTTCGTGTTTACATTTTGTTTTGCATATATTGTTGTGGTGAATGTTTAGATGGTTTAGACATGTAGGCTTACGTTTTACACGACGGATGTGGTCTTGTTTTCCCAACACTCAGATCAGTGGGAAACAACCAAAACAATTTTGTCTTTCTTGCTATTTACATCAACACGAGCATCAACTGTTTATTAGATATCACCCTAAACAAACGTTGAAGTTACAGAGTGGTGACTGAAGGATGCAGGCAAACAAACAAGCAGCAACGAAGATGGTGGTATC